AAAACCTGTTAGAAATAGAGCTGCAACCAACAATTATTCCGATGATTAATTGGATAGAAAAAGAACATTATGCAGATTTTTTTATATCATACAACATTAGAAATAGATTTTAAGAATAAAAATAATTTAATTTGTTTTCAAATGAGAAAATAATGCCTATAATGCAGTAATGTAGCATTACTTTAGTGAACACTTGATCATTTGTAGCAAGTGATCAAAAAAGAGCAGCTGCAGCTAAAAAAATAGCTCATCCCTTTCTGCCTTTCTTAACATAAAAAGATGGAGAATTTTTAATTCTCCATCTGCAACATGTAATATAGCTCATCTCTTAACTATATTTTAAATTATTTTTATTTTACATGAAAAAATTTCACATTTTTAAATTGCAAAGTTCTAAATGCCTTTTTTTTTTGTCTGTATTCTCATTTAACAATTAACCGATTACAAAATTAGTTGAAAACTTCAATAATTAATTTATACCAATTAATCTGACTAATTGTTTCATTCCTAGTAAGAACCAACCGTAAACACACACATATACACAGATAGAATGTAATGGTTTCAGTCGAAACACATTTATGTTCAGACTTAAAATTCACCTGAGAACCTGAAACAAGATTTAAAGCTCAGGTGCTTTTTATAGTCTGACTGAGCTATTCGCATAAAAGAAAAGGCATTTAAGAGACATACCAGAAGAGGCTTGTAAATTCAAAGGCAGCAAAAATGGTTCCAGAACATACTGGACTCAGGATGTTCGATGTGTTGGTCCATTGTATTCAATTAAATCCTAATAGCACACACTGTTGTTTATAGCTTTAACAATGAGCAATTAATGGAGATCTACTAGATCTGAAAATAAAGCATTGCGCACCTCAGTGTCTAGTAAAAGGAACAAGCCTGAACAGAAACTTTAAAAAGTGAAACTTTGAAAACAATTTTAGAGCATAGGCACCAGCTGCTAGTCAAACACACCTCTATAAAGCAGGAGTTTTAGCAGCTTGATGCTCTGAAGCATTCAGGCATGTGTTTAACACATTGCTAAGGAGGAAAGGCATCCACAGTGTGATTAGAGATCTTTGAACGTTTTGTTGAAAGAGCTTCAATTAACAATAAAATGCTCAGCGACCTGGTTTAGCACTTCGAAAGCCCCAGCAGAACTTTACTGACCTCTGCCTGGTGCTCGGGCTTTCTCCTCCGTGCAGAAGCTCGTCTTTCTCCATGTTGTCTATGGCGAGTTTACAGGCCAGGTTGGCTTTCCGCCATGCTGTCTGGTTGCTGGAACCCACAAAAATGTCAGAACCAACTTAGAATACTGTAAGTGGTGTCTCAGATTTATTTACCTTGAACAGTTCCTGCGAATTCTTTTAATTTGAATTTACTGTAATTATCTACAACGGTCAGGTAGGTAACATGAAAACTGCAAAAACCGGATGGACAGATGGATGGATACAATGAACAACTAAGTTTAAAAGCCAAATATTTCATTCAACTGATTGTTTTGCCTCTCAAAGCTTAGAGCTACCATTTACAACAATTACATATACAACTCTGGAAAAAATTAAGAGACCACTTAAATAATCAGTTTCTCTAATTTTACTTTTTATTGGTGCATGTTTTTTTCTTTCATTCTATGAACTACTGACAACATGTCTCGAAATTCCAAGCAAAATTTTAGTATTTATTTGCAGAAAATGAGAAATGGTCAAAGTAACTAATACAATGCAGTGCCTTCAGACCTCAAAATAAAAATAATGCAAAGAAAACAAGTTCATATTCATTTAGAAACAACAACACTAATGTTTTAACTCAAGAAGAGAAATCCATATTTAGTGGAATAACAATGAAGTCTCTTACGGTTTTTCCAGAGCTGTAATTATATATTATTTTGTCATTAAAAGTGAATTATATGCAATAAGAATTACTGATAGAGTTAAACATTCATGTGTTTGTGTCCAGACACCTCAGCATTTGGCGTCGCTGGCTCTCCGTCTCCGTGAGGATGGACAGTCTGGTGGACTCTGTGTCTTGCTCCTGAGCCATCTGCTCCAGATCCTGACAGCAGCACAAACATGGCTTCCCTTGACATATTTCCATTTCTAAAGTAAGAAGTTCTAACACAGTTTTATGTGGGGTAAAGACCTGACCTGTATCCTGAGCCGCAGCTTATTGAATTTGTCTTTGACCCGAGAGTTGAGCTCTGTGAGAGCAGAATGAGGTCCAGGACAATTAATGATGTCCTGCAGATACAGAAAAACATAAAGGTGCAAAAATAACAACCTGTGAAAGCAGAAAGGTTAAATTACACATGTGAAGTTTAAAATGTTTTTTGTGAGCAGAATGACAAAATTATAGTCTGTCACAAATTCTGGCTACCATAAATCTTAAGCCAACCAACATTTTTTGATATATAACTTTCAAAAGGGGGCAGTGATTTCAAGCTCAACATGGACCTTTTTATTATTCAAAATCGTGTTACAGTCATGTTCATTCTTTTAACACATACCTGGCGTGTTATTATGTTGTTTTGATTTCTTTATGCATGTTTAAGAAATCCATTAATCTTCAGTGGCAACCATTTGGCTGTGCCTCAACATAGTTACTTGATTGTTGTGTAAAATAGAAATATGTGCCTGGAAAATACATAAAAGAAGTCTAGAAGTTTAAATCTAAAACTCGAGCTCCACAAAGTATTTAATGCTGGGAATCATTGCACTTATAATCCATGCAATATTCTAAACACAGAAAAAGAATGTTGAAGATTATTTATAATTCTTTCACATTAATGAACAGGACAATAGTTATTGGTATTGAATCAAACCATTTTTATCATTTCTCACCAGTTTTTTTTTATCTTTCCACTTGTATTTTGATTATTAATTACAATAAGTCCCCAGTATTTGTTGTTGGAAGACATTCTTCACCTCACCGTGATTTTTTGCGCGTTATTCGCTGGTCTTTTCAGATATTTCCTTTATTATTTAAAATTTTAAACTAAAAAGTGTTGGTCGGTTCCAGGTATTTGTCATTGGGAGACAGATGTTGCTTTAAAAGTTGTCAGAAACCTTTCGCGAAAAATCAAATAATCACTCGAATAAAATTTGAAAAAAAAATTGCTAATTTTATGTGGACGAAAAAAGCGGCACAGAAAATGATTCTTATTTAAACAAAACAACAAATATGATCGAAATTATTCCAATTATTCCAACTAACTGATGCTAAGCTAACTTCAATGGCCAACATTTAGGACCACCTGCGTGCGTTTAATGTCAACTTCTCCCAGTATCAGATGAAAATCACCACAAACAAACACTGAGCGTTTACCTGAGTCAGAGCTTTTATCTCCAGGTCGTATTTTATTATTTCTTGTCCGCAAATTCGGACGTTTACGTCCTCCGCGGAGGCCATTGCTATTTTGGTACGGAAAGCTGTAGGGCTTAAAAGAGACCAATCCGCTTTAGGCGAAGCTTTAATCTAATTGGCTGAGGCGGTTTCGGTCTTCCTGTAAATATTATAGAATATCTAATTTTGAAGTAGATTTCTGAGTGGTTGGAATATATTTCACGTGCTTTCAAAAGTAATCAGAGAGATAAATAAGGAGGAGAGAGGAAAAAATGCATTTAGAAATCTTACAAATTTTTACGATCTGCTGCTTGGAAGTGGCTGTTAGCAGCAAGTGAGATCTTTTCCATATATCAAAATAACAAAAACAATAACTGTAAATTGTGCTATAAATTATTCAGCAGATACAATTTTGGCATTGGATATTGTTTAAGTTGCTCTCAGCCTGTTTAATTTATTTAATTTATGTTTGTGGACCTGAAGGTGTTCAGGCTCGCAAATGTCTTCCTGTTATCTTGTGAGTCAGTTAAGTAACCACAATTTTAAACCCTATTAATTTGCTCATAAATGACACTGAATACTATAAATAATACTGTATTTGTCATGCATAAAATAAATAAGATTGCTATTATAGGAGTGATGCATTTAAATTTTCTCTTCCACTTTTAAAAGTACCTTTTACTGAACTGTAGAAAGGTTTTGATCTACCACTATGTATGTTAATCAGCACAAAGAGGCCACAACGTTAAAAATATATAAATAAAAGTATTCTAATGCCAGGTTAGAGGTTTTTTTATTATTAATATTTTCCTGTACATTGGCTACTTTTTCACTTGTTTTCTGTTTGCAGCTGTCAATTTTAGCAAAAACTATGTCCTTTATGTAAAAAAGCATATTACAAATTGATATTTATTCCTATTTTGTGTTATTGCTGAATGTGAAGAAATTAGAAGTGGCTCTGAATTTTCATAGTGCTTTTATTGGGCACAACGGACTGAGCAAAACAATTATCTACCATCTTCAGGTGGTAAATCCATGGATTTTAAGGACTCTGAAGTTTACTTCATATTAGTTCATATTCTGACACAGACAGGTCAAACCTGATATGTATTATTCTATTCTCTACAGATGTCAATACAATTTGATAAACTTATATTCTATACTTTAAATTACCCTTGAAAATGTTTTTTTTTTTTAACCATCTTAGTGGGAAACGCAACTTCTGCCAAAATCATATGTAGTTTTTTTTTTGTAATGGATATTGGTTACACACATTTTTAGAAATGAATCAGTGGGAAATTCCTCAACCGATAATAATATTTGAAGCAGGAAACAACAAAATGTTTCTCAGAATTGCATGTATGCAATCCTTAAATGTGTACAGGTTGTATATGCACCAAACACAGCATCCACCAAATGTCTAGATTAAATGCATTACACGAAGCTTTTCCTATGGATAATCATGCATAATGTATACTGGTCTGTATTCGAATGTATTTTTAATGGATTCAAATACATGCATTAAAAATACATCTATTTTTAATGCATCTAAGACACACAGACCCAGTGTGTTTTAGACACTTTGTAAAACGTTTTGCTCTACAGCAGTTCCTTAGACAGATAAAATGTAAATCAAAATAAGAACGAAACAGGAGTCAGAGTGGGGTGCTAATGGTTTTTATTGTTTTGATATTAAAATCAATAAACATAATCAGACTAACATGGTTACAAGCAGAGCTGCAGTACCAACACCCGGCTGATACATGACAGAAAAGAAAGAATGATTTAACACAAAGATAGAAAAAAATAGAGAGGCACAAGAACACAACAGAGATTCAGGGCAGGTGTCCGACAAAAACTGTCGAAAACTGAAACAGAATGGGCCATTACAGTACAAACCGAGAAAAAAAAAAGTCTTACATTTCCATGCCTGTGCATAAAGCCACCAACTGTGCCTCCAAAAAAATATAATGTAAAAGAAAAAAGTTAAACCAAAGTATAAACCCAGCACAACATTTATTATATAACATAAATATAACACATGTCAAGATATTGTATTTAAACAGGCATATATGTGAACTACAAATATAGACGTCATTGCTAAAGAGAGGATCAAGTTAGTTTCAGCAGGATACACGTTCTGCAGGTTTTGCTTCTTTACCAAATTAGAATCACCAAGAGATCTATTACAGAGCACTTAGCAATGAAGTACAGCCTTCCTACTGAAACTGGGAAGAGGAACACACACAGGACTAACTACAGAAAGATCCCATGCTGTTGATGTAGTAGAATAAGTTACCATACAAGACCAGAAGCATCATAACAATGGCATGTGGAGCTCAGGATGGCCGATACCTTCCACATCCTCTCCAAATGTTTGGGCTTGTATGGATTTCCTACTAAAAATTGACGTACTGTCTGCTCTTATTCTTAGAAACGGAAGAAAATAAACAGAACAGATGCTTTACTTTAAGAGAAGCATTTTTCTTTTTGTTGAACGTCTCTCGTGTGTTTTGGCAAGTCTGGAAGGAGATGTAAATCACTGCAGAGTTGGTTTGTAAGATTGACGAGTGTAAAAGTATATAGTTTTGCTTTTATTGTCAAAGACGGGTAGTTTTTTGCTTTAGGTAAATCAGTCTGCAAAAGCGGAGATGAACCCCTCCCGTATTTATTCACCACAGGGGAAGGAGAAGGGTCTCTGCCCACCAGCCTTCAGTGACCCCTTCCTAATCTCTGGGGCTACAAGACAAGACACTGCAAACCAAGCCCTTCTTAAAAAGAAAGTAAATAGAGCTTAAGAAACAATTTAAACAAAACAAAAAACAACAGGGAACGTGGTAAAAATCTCAACATTTCCACTGAAGTTCTTTTAACGGCAAATGAGCCACATTCTAAGGTGAGTGCTAAAAGTTGGTTTAGCTTGATGCGATCACATTGAACCTTTAACAACAATTCATGAGTTTCACAGGCAGAAATTTCTCACCATTCAATGAAATATTATTGTATATTATTTGTAAATAAAGTACATTAAGTTTAAGCCGAGGGTCAAAAGGTGCTTCTTTGTATATTAAAGCTATTTAACTCTTTAACTTGAATTTATTTATTTCAGTCATTCAAGTCCTTTGAAAGTGCAAAGAAATAAAAAAATATCCTCACAACGGTAGTTTGCAAGGAAATCTTGTTTGAGGAATTTAATACTCTGATTACAAAATGGTGGTTGGGATCTCAATATGAGTCTTAATAATAAGCATCAATCAAATTGATTGTTGTTTGCATATTTTCACTTTGATCGGTAAAAGAGATTACAAATGAGTTATTCAAGGTTAAAGATTTACTTGTTTGTTTAGGCTGTTTGCAATTTGTCCCTTACACAATTTGTACATGAAAAACTATTTTGTCGTCATGGACTTAACTAAAGCATCTCAATTTACCTCAGTAGTTAAAATGTGAATAGCAGAGATAAATAATCATAAAAATAATCAAAACCCACTGTTAGTTGAATATTATTTTCTGAAAGTCGTTTTCTTTTCATTTTTTTTACACATTTTTGCATTTTACATTGTGCATTTGTTGAATTTAATTTTTAGGAATGGTAATTTTTCAGCTTTGTGAAATAAGAACAGGTCATTAAATAACAAATCCTAATTTGTTATTTATATCTGAAGCTTCGTAGCTGATTGGCAGGTCAACTTCTGAATCTTTAGATATTTTCTATTCATTAAAGCATTAAAAAGCCGAATGCAGCAGATTTTGGTCTAAAACACACATCAACCACAGATGCACTTTTGGAAGAGTTTGGTATAAAAACATAAAAATATAGTCTAAAGCATAAATGTGATTATCCTTATCAGAAAATATGCTCTGTGTTATAGCAGAGGTTATCAAAATAGAAAAAAAAAAAAAAAGAATTGGTGTAGACTGAAAAATGCCTAATTGATTGCTGATTTATTGACTTTTTGCCACTAATCTCCCAGAAATGGGAGATTAAGTTTGAGAAGTCATTGTGGTTTCATTGTGATTTGCACCTGTGAATCTCAAGATATGTGTCTGACTTTCTATCCTCAGTGGAAATACTTTAAAATCTCAATTTAATCATATTTGTCTCATTGCATTTTAAAGTACAGGCCTTCACAAATAAATATCACATATTATAAACACTGGGAGTAGGGGAAAATATAAAATATAATTTAAAACAATATAAACATTTGACAGAGTTAGCATAAATATCAAACTATAATATTAACGATAGAAAGGTTTAAACATATGAGCAAGAGTAGCCACATAAAAATATAACATTCGAGATCTTTCTCTATCTTAATGACCAGAGTCTCCCTTTGAGCTTCCAAACAAATACGAACAAGAAGGAAATAAAATCTCCAGACACTCTTTCATCTGTCTGTGTGATCCTGCTGAGGAAGACGAGTCTACATTCATCAGCAAAGCAGCAGCGGAGGAGTTACACCTCGCTATGTCAGCGTACAGCAGTCAGAAACACCAGACTGACCAGAGTTATCAACAGAAGGAATAATATGGCTAAATTTCAACACAGCCATGTTACTGTAGCACCCAGCCAGGGACAGATTATAGCACCACAGTTTACCCCCATGCTCAGTTTGTCGCTTCATCCGCAACCTGCGACTCAGTGCCAACACTGACTTCACGGAGGGGTCTGGCACTTCATTATAGCAAAGTTAAAAAATGGAAAGTGTTCTTTTTTTAATTGGTTTTATTTCTTTTTCTTTTTTTAATTTTTTTTCTTTTTTACTGTCACGTAAAGGTCTCAAGAGGCAGCAACACAGTGCACCATGTCAAAACCTCAGAAGAAGAATGCATTGATATTGATCAGGTAAAAAGCAGGCCCCGAGTCTCCCTCTGTCACTGACACAGTGGAAGTTTGCTCTTCTCTACACAAACACACCAGTGGTGATAGCAGCAGCAGCCAATACAACGTACGATTTTGTGGCGTAGTGGGCAGAGAAAGAGTTTAAAAAATAGAACCGGGTTTCCCAAAACAACATCGGGTTCCTCTATAATACTAAAGGGAGATACCGTCCAAAAGTAATGCAACATCCGAGAAAGAGAACCTGTTTAAATCTGCTGCTAACGGTTGATTACACTGTAAAATGTGTGGATGTTAGATAGAGCAAGGTTTTCAGTTTATTTTTGTATTTCAAGTTTAAGTTTTGGAAAACCCAGTCCATTGTTTCTGTGGGGAAATCCCCTCCAGACTGACAAAAGGTGCAGATTTGCGTTTTTGTATATTTGATTAAGGCACCTGGTTCAGCAGGCATCATAATTCAAAATATTGTCTTTTCTCTGTAAGTGTAAAAACCAAGGGCAAGGTGAGTAATGCTTTTGGTCTTTTGACTATCACAGGAAAAATATATAAGAACAAAACAAGAAAACAAGGAGGAGTATGTAGGATAAATATACTGGAAATCTGTCATAAACATCCTCAAGCCTCTTTGTGCTCATTCAATAGCAGCAAGTACAAAATCAAATCACTGAGAGTACAGAGAGCCCCAAAAAGCCATGCAACAACTTCGTGACAATGAAATCAATTTCTTATGTCCAAATGCACCAAATTCTCTCAGCTTAATGCAAGAAGTTACCCTGCAAACACACAAGCCTTGCTGCTTCTCATCTGGGGAAGAACAGAAGAGAACAAAAGTGACACAACCTCAAAATTCAAAATGTGAGGCGATTTACAAAAATAGGGTTGTAGGTTCAAACAAAACAGAATATATTTGAAATGATACAAACAAACCTGGAAGCCAGACTTTTGGGTCATGACAATACAGCCAGTAGATGGGAGTCAAAATAACCCATTATTTAAACATTTTGAAGAATACTTACTTTGTAAATGCTACACTAAGAAGTTTCCAAGAAAACCCCCACTTATTTCACTTTAACAATAGCAAGTTAAGGAATAAAAAGAGAAAACAAGCTGTAAACAAAACTGACTATCAATTGAAACTGCTTTTGCAAACAGCTTTTCAGGCGTTATTTTATTTAAAAGTTCATTGCTGCCTTCCTTCAGACTTAAAACATAAGGACAGTAAGAGTTGGGATCAGTAGAGTAAGTTCCTTCTCGCTAAAATAAAAAACGCTAATTGCTTTATGTGTTGGAATAAAATACAAATGCTAGTAAAAGCGTGCTTAGAAAGTTTTTTAAATAAATATGTATATCACTGCATGAGAGAACTGAGGATTTTGGAAAGATTTTTGTGACTTGGCAGTTCATCAAATGTTACACTCAACTTTATGTTCTTATTTTCACAATTAAAATAATATAAATACTTTTTGTCACTGAAGAAAGTTGTAAACAAACAATTTTACTAAATGAATCATTTATTTCAGTTTTTCAGACATTATCTCTCATTTTTACCTTCCTATAAGCTTGAAGATATCATCAGAGTTAATAAGGTAGTAAGTTGTTGGCTGAAAAAAATGCTAATGGTGTAATATATTTAATTAATTAACACAAGCAAAATAGATTAAAGAAACTTTCTGTAGCTTTAAAAGAGCTAAATATAATCTAATATAATATTTCTAATTTTGAGAGTATCTTAAGTGCAGTAATTATATAACAATAGCAAGAAGCAAAGAAATCAAAAATATAGCAAGTGAAGTGGTTTTCAGGTGTTTTCTAAACAACTTTCATTAACCACCATTTTTTATTTCCTTTACGCCAATTTCAGAACTACAAAACCTAATTGTTGTTAGCTATTGTCGTAAATGTCTCATGAAATAGATTATGTAATTCACAAGTATATAAAATAAACTTTAATTCACTTTAATACAGGTACATGTGAAGCTTCTGAATTTTGAGGTTGCGCAAGGTTTGCATAGCTTTGCAAGTTATTAAATTCAAATCTTCCCATTACAAAATAATTACTACAAATCAAAAATTTAGGGTATTTAAAGTCACTACTTTAAAGACTAAATTAAGATTTTATTAAGAAATAAAAAAAAAATCATTAGATGACATTTGTTGCCATAGTTTAACCTAGTACGATTCAAAACTCGGTGCTAACAAGCTAGCATGTTGCCAGGTTGTGCAAGATATAATCTTTAAATTGTTTTAAAATACAAAGTTTCAATGAATCCAAAGTTTTAATTTTAGGTTGTTTTTTGTCTGTCTGTTTTGTTTAGATAATTTGGTGGTAAGACTTTGTATTTTATCCCCATTTTTCCAACTTATGCGATCCTTTAAGCACCTGGCATCAGGAGTAATGAATTAAAAAACTTTGATAATAGATTCATACAAACAGGATATCAAATTACGTATTTTATGAAGTCATCTCAAGTCCTCCAATCCATGTGTTTATCTTGCTTGTGGAAAAATTCAATTGTATTATATTTACTATAACTATCAAGTCCAAATTATTGACATAAATTAGCATATTGCTAAAACCGTGCCCTCAAAGGATTTGTATGAAATTTAATCCTTCAATCAATCAGTTTATACTGTGAAACAGATGGAAACTTCTCCAAAATTGTATTATATGATCTGAAAATGATATCACTGAAATATTTTAAATTTTATTATGGCAAGTTTTGTCAAGCCCAAGAAACTGGCTTTTACAAAAGAAGTCATGCTATGCTGTGCAACATTTATAACACAAGTCAATAACAGAAACTCCCAACTCCTGCTGTTCAGAGACAGAACCCATGTGAATCTTCTTCTTACTGGTCCAACAGCAAAATCCCACCATTCACAGGAACTTAAAACTAATGGAAACAATTGGAGGGGGGAGGGCAGCACTTCTTGGATGACCAAACATTATCAGCACCATGTGACAAACCCCAGTTGGATCACAGCTGGACATCAGAGTCAAATCCTTCATGAAGGGAACATGCTGCAGATTCTTTTTTTTGTTTGTTTGTTTTAAATTTCTGTGTCAGTCTGTTGGCCTTTGTTTTGACTTTGTGTACAGAGCTTTGCACCATAGTGATTGACATTGATAATTCAGAACACACAGGCAGACAATATATTTTTTGTACAGAGTAAAGAATGGCGACAATAACTGGAATACATAAATATATTTTTCTTTCGATTTAATACGTCATCACATGTCAGATAGAAGAACAGTATTACCCTGATTTGCTGAAGAAGAGCTTTATGGTATCCACGTAGCTTTTATTGAACAAGAGTAGCACAAAGTTACACACTCTATTAGCTTAATAGTTACTGTATAGGTTTTTTTTTTAGAACTAAAAAGAATAAGGAATAGTTTTACTGGCGTGGATTCTCACTCATTTCCTTGACTGTTAAAATGCCACAGAGTCTCTTGGTTCAAATGTAAAGTTGCACAGCTTGCGCCTATCATGTTAAATGTAAAAACTTGTGAGGACTCTCTTAAAAGTACAGCCTCGTGATCGACAGCAAAACATGCGCGCCTCCAACGTCAGCCGGCCGTCAACCAGCGGCCCTTTCAACCACTGTTGACCCCCTGACAGACCTGGCATCAGATCATAGCTGAAAAAAGGCTTTGAATATTGTCACAAAAGACACGCGAGTCAAAAAATCCAGACTTCTGAAGTCAATTTTCAGTTATGGATCGCCACGTCTGCTACTTCAGTCAAGGTTGTTTTGAGCCAATCAGGCTGAATGGTTTTGTTGTTGTTGTTTACCAGAATGGCAGAACAATGTTATAAACCCCAGGCAAGTTCCTTAAGCTACAAACATGTCTGCCATGTTGTTATTTTTATTTGTGAGAAGTTATTTGAGAAGGCAATAAGTGTCCGGATTGAGTCTCCACTTGTAATTGGCTTGCCATACAGTACAGTGATATAGTAATATCCCCTTAGGCGGCCCGGAAAAACAGCTTTGGAGCGAGCTCTTCCCGGCCGCCCAAGGCTAAACCCCCTCCTCCTTAAGTCACAAGTAGAAATCAGTTTACAAATGATAACAATATAGCTCTCTGAAGAAATGTGTCTACACTGTACATCGCCCTGAAGAGGAAGCCAAAGCAGAATCAGTTTTTCCATAGGAAACCTCTACTGAAGGCAAATGAATCATGACGCCAAGGGGGTCAGCATCAGAATCAAACATAGGGGCCCTGGAATCAAAACTCTCTTTTTTTTTTCGTTTTGTTTTGTTTAGGACCACAAACATATCATAACACCCTGACCAGGAAATAGACCGATTCTGTCAAGACACTACACTTCCTGAACGCCAAGCAATGATACTCTCATTCTCTCTCTGAACATCTTATATCATTTCATGGCTCAAGAAAATTTGTAGATCTAACCCCTGTCAGGCCACACGGATATATTACTTGCTAGTTCATAGACCTAGCCGTGTCAGGTAATAAACTTATCCGAGCAAGTAGTCATCAAGTACACTTGCAGCATTCACACGAGGCCGTTTAGCAGCAAATGGAAGAAAAAAACATTTTTTTGTTTGTTTTTTCATTTTTTTTGGACAAAGTGCTGTTGTCTTTTTAAACATATAACATAATCTACACATATAACTAACATTTAGAAGATACATATTAACTCATAGCTTATTTACAAAATATATAACCTCTAAGAAAATAATTATGGACGGAAAGGGGAGAGCAAGTCATTAGGCTACAACTAGTCAAAGAAGTCAAACGTGAATATTGGAAACTTATCATTCTAGTTTCGGAAAAAGAAGCACCATTTCTCCCTTTTTAGACAGAAAAGAAAATTATCTTTTATCCAATCATGAAATACACACAGAGGAACACTCACAGTCATTAGAAAACGCTCTGGAAATAACGTTTGGTCTTCACACTGCCCTGGGATCAAAAAAACTCATGCATGAATTCATTTGAGTCCAAAAGTCTGATTATGGTTCATTTGAGGAGATTTAGTTTTTAGGTGAAACAGGTGGAAATAAAATTTTGAAATATTTGCACAATGGACATTAATGATATGGCATAAGCAGTGTAATATGTATCGGTAAGTAGCTAATTTTGATGCAGTAAGGCTAGAAGACTGAAGGCAAAGCGAAGCAAACAGCTCGAAACAATCCCAGGAATGCAAACGTCTCGTAATTTAATGATTGATTCTGAAACTAAAACTTAGAACCACAAAGAAACCAAAATTACCCAACTTTTAATCTGACTGAGCTAAGCCTGCGGAAAACACTTTTTTTTTTCCTGTCAGTGAATGCACCATAACTCAGAACAACGTTCTGCTAAGCACAACACCCATCAGTGGGGACGTTCTTACTGAGTTTTGTGTCTTTGGGGAGTTTTGTGTCTCATTGAAGTGGCAAATTAGCATATAGCACATTTTAGTAGATACCAGGAAGGCTCTCTGGAGTACTGCAAAATTTCACTCTCTGTTTGTGAGTTTCCAACTTCTCTATCATGAAACATGTTGGATTTGGAAATATTTGGAATATATCAGAGATAAGCTAAAGATCCAGATATTATAGTGGAAAGACACAAAGACTGCTGCTCAAATTTAGTAATGCTAACTGCTAATATTCGAGTGGAAAATGTCAATCTCATTATTTAGTCTTTGTTCTAAAAAAGTGTCTTCTTTCTCACAGTGTCAGATCATTACTCTTATAAAGCCACGCAATGTTTTGAATGTTGTTAAATCGAGATCTCAATTAGAAATCCATATCAGGAGGTAGAGGGTTGAGTGAAAATTAGTCACAAATCTTTTATTGGTGCGTCTCTACTGAAATGTAAAAGCTGCTGATTCCAGGTCAGTGTGAAGCATAATTTTGAGCCACAACACAAATACAGTCTGTCCTCCATCTTCCTGCAGACCGTTCTAATGACAGTAATGCTAACTGCTAATATTTATGCCACATCGTGTCTGAGATTATCCAGCCCTCGTTGTCTTTTACACCGTCAGTAAAGAAGATTATCCGATCAGCCCGTGTCTTCTTTTTCTCTATAACTAATTCTCAGACCTATGAATACCTAAAAACCAAAAAGCAAGAAGCTTAAATACAAAAATATATTGTTTTTTGTTTGTTTTTTTTCTCTAGCTTTTTAAATGCAGAAATCTGACATGCTTGAAAACAAATCATTGTCATGAAAAGTGGCATTTCATAACTCATAGATGTAGCATTAACGCTTCTATATACAGTACTTTAAAACACAACTCAGATAATATTCTGCTTGTGAACTAGACCTTGACTACATACAGAAATCAAACAAGTGACACAGGAATATTTTGGTTATTTCAGGGAACATCTTGACAAGCAAAAAAAAAAAAAAATGTAACTTAGCTTATCTACTAGGTGAGCGCTTGTTTTTTTTTTTTTTTGTGTTTGTTTTTGTTTTCTAACTAGCGCCATTAACACACTTAGCATGTGCAGGGAGGAATCAGTTCAGGAATGAAGTGCTTTCTAAGCAACAAAAGAAATCTACAGGAAAAAGCCCACATTGCAAGGGACACAAATGAATGTTCCTTTTCTGTACAGAATTGGACCCAAACTAATTTCACAGTTCTATGAAGTTCCCTGACCCTCCCACATTTCTTACATTCAATACGGCGTCAGGTAAGCTGTGCAAAACCTTACTTTAACTGGCTGGTCGCCATTTTCGTTGCATGTGTCTTTGGTACAAAAAACAATCAAAATATAGTGTGCAAATATTTGTTGTAACCCTAAAGGAAAAATATCTGTTAACCCGCCCCATCCCGCCCATCCCAGGCCCCTAAAGACAAGAGTACCAAAAACCGAAAGGAATCTATTGCAGAGCCCTCCTATATACAGACTCTGTGGCATCACGCAACAAGAGCTTCCATTTGTTTATGTACATTCAGAATATCTTTAAACAACTTGTGTCCATCCTCTCGTTCCCTAACAACCTTCTCTCCAAAGCTGGAGCTGGAGTCCATCTCTAACACACACTCATTCAGACTTAAAGAGACACACACATACATATACAAGGCACAATGAATAGAACTCTGATCAAACACTAGTATGAACACATCAAACTGTCACCACCACGCTGCCTGGTCAACTTTACTGTACAAAAAAGGGAGGAGCTGATGCCTGGGAGACACTTCTATATACAGTTTCCTGGAGGAGATGGATTGCTGTTTATGTCATCTTTATCACAATCCTCATCGTCGTTTCCCAGTCCAGTTATAACCACCATAAAGCCCCAAAAAAGCACCATGCTACATGCATTTCCAATTCAGGTTGTGAGCCACTTCCTGTTGATTAAGGTTACACGTCGAACCAGCAGGATGTGTGATCGCTTGAATCTTCTACTGCATTTTCTTTTTCTGTTTCATATCTTGCGCTAATATGCTAAACCTGTTTTTGCAAGCAGTTGAGTTGATTGGCAAACAGGAGATGGCGTGAATTTATTTAGGCCTTCAGTACTAAATATTTCCTGCCACCTTGCTTTTATCTCCTCTGCAGCTTTTTGGGCTACCAGAGCCATTTTTGTAAAAGTGCTTCAGTGAAAGGGTCAATTTAACATCCTGGAACTTCTTTTTTTTGTTGTTTATTTTCTCTTTTTTATGCTTTTTGGGATAAAGCTCCTTGTATAAATGATAACTTATGCTTCATCAATCTGTGATTGTTTCTGGCATGTAACAAATTTCCTCTGTCTTTATTACCACCTCAAACAATGTGATGCTCATTTGAGCTCCAGTCTCAGTCCCTAAAGCCTCCAGCAGGCGACATTACGCTCATCTAACAATCACCAGTGGATTTAAGAACGTGCTGCTCCAGACACACCAAACCATCACTTGCTTTTCAGCGTGCTTCTCCCAACAGCCGGCCACCATGGTTGGGGAGACAGCGATGTACTGACACTGCGCATGGCGTGCAGAGACAGAAAAGCCAGGGTTCGTGCCTTACAGCTGCACGGCAAAGACAAGCACACGTACGGGGAGGTGGTGTGTGTGTTTGAGTGACTGGCGATGAGTGTTTACTCTGAGCTGGAGGGGCATGCAGAGGGGAGAATAGCTACAATGGACAGCACGGTGGTAATATGGAGTCCACTCTTCTCGGTGGACGGAGGGTTTGTCTACATTTTGGAGGTGGGGACTCGCAGGCCGACCAGTCCTCCCGTTGGGTCACCGCGTCCCGTGTTCTCCAAAATCTTGTTGACAAAGTCTGACGTCTGCCCAGCAACCGGAGATGGCACTAAAGGCAAAAAGAGACGTAAAGTTGTGAAAATGTATTTTCCGGTTTACAGATTTCCTCTGTCTGCTTTTTTTGGCAGACAGTTGCATCCTAGGTGCACAAAGGAGCTTTATAGGAGATCCTCCCTGTAGATTACTATCACGGCTCCCAACAAAATCAATGTTTACATCCCTGCTGGCATTACAACAATTATTTATTCTGTTTTTACTCGTTTCTGCTGTAGACTGTTTATTGTAAACAATTTCTTTTTACGTTCAATACACATAAAAATTATTGAATAATTTTCTACTGTATATTATTTTGATTTGATTATGTATTTATTTCAAACAAACATTCAAATACTATGATATGTATTTAGATAACTATTTGTTTGAAAAGGAGGTAGACAGAAGCATAAACATATTTGACCTGCTTTCTTTTCTTTTAGATGTGTCTTAGTTTATATGTTGCATCCTAGGTGCACAATTATTAATTTAAACAAATGTAATTATTGTTGTGATTTTTGGTATATATGTATATTTAATAGTTTTTAATCTGTTGTGTGCTCCTATGGACATCGTGATGCAGCTTTTACACTTGAATTCCTCACTGAGGCAATAAAAGCAATTTTAAGTCCTATTTCTTCTAAATCAAAGATAACATGAGAAAATACAGATAGCAGTTTGAAGTAATGACTTAATCTCTAAAAGAAATAAAAAGCAATTCAAACCAGCATAACAACTAGAAGCCCTTTGTGAAATATAACTACAAATTAATTAGCAGTTTTCTTTTTTTTATTTTCACTGAAAAACAATTATAAGCTTAATTTTATGCAATTACTGCATTTTTTAAATTTTTTACTTGAGTTAAGAAAACTGACATAAATGTTTCTTTAAGGGTACAAAATGGAAGTGAAGATGGACAAAATGGCCAACATTTAGAGGTCAAAGAAAAAAATACTTCAGACAAAAAAATCCTGTGATTCAGATTTCAATCCAAGCAGGTTTGAAATAGCATTTTCCAAGCACAGAAAAGCTAAACGAGGTAAGAATGTTTACTCGTGTTAAATCCTCACCAAGCGTTTCCTCGATGAGCCGCTCCAGAGTCTCGGTCATGTTGGTTGGGCGTGGAGACGAGTCTTCCACTCGCAGCATTATCTCCTCCTTGATGGCGTTGATCACAAACAGTAGCCGATCTGCACGTGTTCAAGCACAGAAGACATAAAAATTATTCATCATGCTCCTCAGACAATATTTTTGTATCTAGATTAATAGAAATAAATGTAACAAGAGAAATAAAAAGACAACAATCAGATGAGGAGATAATTAACTTACCATATTCTGTACTGAGTCCCCAAAGCTTCACTTTGTTTGCTTCATATTGAGCTTTCTTTTTTAAACGGCAAGCCCTAAATCCCAAATAAATGAACGTTACTTATCCACATTGTAGCTCTGACTGTAATTGTACGCATGCAGGATGCTGTAATTGTACGCATGCAGGATGCTGTAATTGTACGCATGCAGGATGCTGTAATTGTACGCATGCAGGATGCTGTAATTGTACGCATGCAAGATGCTGTACCTGGATGCCAGCTTGTTCTTCTCCTTGCGAGAGCGCGGCCGGGCGGTCAGCGGCAGCTCGCTGACGGGAGTGAGGTCGCTGATCACCTTGTTCAGCTTGCGGAGCTCTGTGCCGATCTGCAGCAGCTTGCGAGGATTGGGAGTCAGGTCTTCCACGTCTGTGCGCCGCGATTTCTTTAGCATGTATTTCCCTTTGTAACAGGAAGGAAAACAAAAAAATTGTAACACATTACAAAGCAGTAAATTTCTATAGACACAAAAGAGGCTTTGTTGAATTATTACTCAGCATAATGTGTCACTTCGCTATAAGCTATTATTCCTTTTTAGAGATGTGCATCACTTGCTAAATTAAAAAAATCCTCAAAATAAATCCTAAAGATGTCACAGTCTTACACAGAAGATATTAGAAAAATACAACCTTTATTTGAGTGCATTTATTCATTAGGGAGGAACAGAAAGAAAGATAATTTTAATTACTTTTGACACAATTAAAGTTAAATGTACTATATTGATTGAGCCTCCTGCATTACTATGGATGACTGCAAGTGTGATTGTAATGTTTTCTTATTTATGCTGAGCTACTTAAAGCCACGCAATGTATTCATTGATCCCAGAATTTGGAAATTATCGACATGTATGATGCAGACAAAACATTCAACATACACAAAAATACGCAACAGTTGACTTGTTTTTATCATATTTTCTTCAAAATGAACATGTTCTCTGTAATAACCCTGCGTGGCATCATGTGAATATAATGCATGAAGGATATAAACAAAAATGACCTGTGTGTCTCTTTTTAATCACAATTTTCAAATGTAGCAAGACTTAAATGGCTTTTTCCCATTTATACAAATCTAATTTCCATAATTCAGCATAATTTAAAACCAAAAGGTTTGCATGGATACAGGTGATGGATAATTGGCTTGTGACAGTTTTTCATTTCCCCTGTTATTTAAAGGATCCTGATCCGGGCATGCTGTTGTGCAAACCCATCTGAACAACATACATCATCACAGCCTCATTTAAAAGTCTTAGATAAACCTCATGGGCACAATATTATGGAATAAAATGCTCTAAAAGTCTCAAATAAAGCTTCTGTTTTACGACTCTGTCTTAAAATAAAGGTCAATGTGATAAAGCTGAATATGGAGTGGATCTCAGAGGTGAACCCGTTGCTGTTAAAATACCAGGTGTATGTGACGTAAGACCAGCGGGCCAATCGTAAAACTGGAGAAGCCTCAGAAATGTCTCCCTAGTGTTTTTATATATTTTGTTCTTCATATGTCTTTGGTAAGTTGTAGGCCTGTGAAGCAAAAAATGCTTCTTCTAAATAACTGGATAAAACTTCACAAAACCTCAAAGGAGAATGTTTCATCTATGAAAAGCAGAAGTAGAGCCTCCTGCACAGTCAACAAGAAAGCAGCGAGTGGTTTCTGAATTGTAAGTAAACAGCAAAAGACTTGGACAGCGGTAAAACCAGCTGACCAAATGTGCTGGAGCTCCACTTGGTTGCTAGGTAACAAGAGTGGGCGATAGAATTGCATCTATATAAATTACAAATGAAAGGTTTGAATGTGATTTTAGAACTAAATCTGACAGAAAATCAATGCTGTTAGTTTAAATAAAAATGTTGCATATTTCTCCTTTTTAACGATAACATTCATACTTCAGGATTAATGTTCATTTATAAAGGTGGGGAAGGTTTTCGTCAGATTAGCCACACCTTTGGGAGCTGCTGTGTGTAGTTTCTATGAGTCTGTGTGTTTGTGAATACCATGGAGAGGCCCGTTCTTCTGGTACATGTTGCTTGGCAGCGTGTGTCTGTCCCACTCAGAAGGCTTCAGCATCCGCTCCTGCTTGGAGGGGGTGAGCTGCTCGCTGTACTCCCAGAAGTAGCGGCGCTTCCCTCTTTTCCGGCTGGAGACTCCGGCTGTCAGGCCTTTAATGTCGTCCATCAGCTCCATGTCACAACCTGACGGGACAAAGAAACGCAAACAGTTAGCAAGTAAAGTTTTTGTGGATGACTGTAAGTCTTGAAATAAGACATAACTAATTTACAAGCACGTCATTGATCACTTAATATTGATGAAAAGCAACTTGTAAGTTAGTTTTGTCTTATTTAAAGCGCACTAAGATATTTGCACTAGAAACTAGATTAAAAATACTTGGTAAGATTTTGTGTTCTTGGAGCAAAGAATTACGGAGAAATTAGATTTTGAAATGCAAGACAGGAAAGAAGACGCCTCTACCTGGCTCAGAGAAGGCGTCGCTCATGTCGTCATCCTTGTCTGCTTCGTAGTCGTCATCCTCCTCCTCTTCCTCTTCCTCCTCATTCTCAGAGAGCTCATGCTCACTGCCGAAACCTTCATCATGATCTTCGTCATCCAAGTCCAGCCCATCGCCCTCGTCCTCCTCTGGCTCCTCGTCGTCTTCCTCCTCCTCGTCTTCCTCCAGCTGCGACAGAGCTCGGCTGCGGGTCAGGAACAGGGAGTAGTTGTGTTCTTCCTCCTTGCTCTGCTCCAGATCTTCAACCAAAACCTCGCCGCTTGCGCCGCACGCTCCCGCCACAGCGTCGGACGTGCTGCACACGGTCTGCTTCGCCTCTACCAGCTGGGGAACAGCAGCGGACCTGCCGACAGGCCCCTCACGCCGCGTCGCCCCCTCCACCTTCAGCTCAAAGCCCTCCAGGCTCGCCGAGCCGCTGGGCTGCGGCGTGGCATGGCCCACTGAGATGGCACTCGCTGAAGTGGAGGGCTTCTCGTCTTGAGGCTGGGAGAGAGGCAGCTGCGGTTCTGACCTCTCAAAATCCGTCGAGGGCATCACCTCTCCTTGAGGTCTGGGTCCAGAACTGACGCGAACTTTAGCTTTCCGAACAAAGTCGGTGCTGTGAGACGTCGGAGCGGCCATCTTAGCCCCTCGACCGGAGGCTTGGGTTGAGTCTGGACATGGTCCTGGGCGAAACCGAGCTGGTTCTGGGTTTTAGCCATGGTCTCAGTGCTGGAAGCAACAGGTCTGGTAGCTTTTTGGGAGCTTTCAGGAAAGTCTGCGAAAAGGCTTCTGGAAGGCCGGGATTGGGAAGAGGATGCAGAGCACGGAGAAGGCCGCACGGAGCTGACGCCCAGACCCTGGAGTCTCTTGTTTTGAGAGGGGAGTGGCTGGGATGGAGGCTGGGGACAAGGAAGCGTCAGGTCGACAGGAGGGTAGAGAGCCTCACAGACGGGCAGCGAGTCCTCGCTGTTGAGCTGAGCGAGCGTCGGGGTCCGACTGATCACCTCCTCATCCTGATAGGGACTGGAGAAGTCATCCAGTCCAAGAAAGTCCACTTCTTTGGTTCCCCAGATGTCACAGCTGGCCAGCCGTGTGTATCTGTTAATGACAAAAAAACATGTAGATGTTTAAACAATGAAACTTCCAACAAAAAATAACAAAAGCAAAACCAGAAAAAAAGTCTAGACTTTTTGTTTTAAGCTTTCCAAGTAAAATTTTTATGATACATGAACTTAAAAATGTGCACATTATCCTGCAACATAGCTTCAATGCAAAATATTACAAAATAATTTTGATCTAGTTTTTGTGCAAATATCTTTTACCTGAAGTCAAAACTGACTTACAAGTAACTTTTCAGCAAGATACATCAGCTTATTTTAAGTAACTTATTTCTTAATATTGATGAAAAACTTCCAGTTCCATTGGCAGATTATTTCAGATATAACAAGACATTTTCCCATGTAATAAGTAAAATAATCTGTCAATGGTACAAGTACTTTTTCATCAATATTAAAGAATTATTGACATGAAACAAGCTCTCCTGTAGCTTTCTGAAAAGTTACTTTTAGTTAGTAAACTTAAAATGACTACAACGTTCACACAAGAAACTAGAGAAAAATACTAGGTATTTTGCTGTGTTAATTCAAACATACCTTTGCTTTTTTTTCTTTTACATATATATATGCTTTACCCAATTATGAACCATCAACAGTGCATCAAACACCATGTTAACTTGTCTGAAAGTCTTCTCTGGACAGCCACGATGCCCAGAGCAAAACTGCAGCTGTTCACCTTGTTATTCTCATCCTGTCTCGGTTTTGGGAATTAGTTTTGCCAGAGCCAGATTTCTGAGAACAGTAGAATGTTTTCATACCACAACATTTCCAAGAAAAGAACAGAACGATCAGATGATTTTTCTGCACTCCTTCAGTGAGTTAGCTAACGCTTCTTGAATGTCTTTCCTTAAAATATTGCGAAAACTAGTTGCTTCATTTCACATATTCAGTTTTGCAAACTAAGAACACACAGCACAGCAGTCCTATCAAAAAGCAGCTAATTTTTTTATTGTTCACTTGTCACTCAAAATAATGTAGCACTTTGATTCAGGAGAGACAACATTTTCTAATTTGGCTTTGCACATTACTAAAATGAATTTCGAATGCAGTTGAAGTTCAGACTTTCAGCTTTAATTCAGTAAGTTGAACAAAATGACTGCATAAAAATGTGATGAACTAAAACACTTTTTTTAAACACAATCCCTTCATTTCAGGGGCTAAAATGAACAACCTTCATCAAATTTTTATGTGGAGACCCTCAAATGAAAGCTGAAGGTTTTGACTTTATGTCCGTTTCCAAATATATAACGAGAACTTAAATATAACAGATAAAAAAAAACTAAAACTGTGTCAGTGTCCAAATACATATGGATTCAGCTGTACCATCCTGCAGGCAGCACATGTTTTCTGTTCAAACACCCCAGTTTTTATAGCAGCTGTCTCACCACACCTAGCATTCAGTAAAGGTAGGGAAACAACCTTTTACATTTATTTTTGGAGTGAAATGCAAATCCAATGGTTAGCTGAACTCCAGATAAGCTAAAAAACAAGATGCTCGTAACTGGGTGACTTCTGAAAGTAGTGTTTTTGGCACTGGATTTAATTTAGAGGTGCTAGAGTAAAGGAGGTTGAATACAAATGAAGGCCATGTTTCAGATATTCAGTTGTGCAAACATTTAGAAAATAATCACTCTTCTATTTTACAGTAAATCACTACAAAAAAACCCTACAAGTAGTTCAACGTTAATGCAAAATGACTAACTGTGAAAATATCCAAGGCATCTGAATTCTTGTTACGATATGTTATTGCAATAATGTTACGGTACCTGGTGAGGTCTTCCCAGTACGAGTCCCACTGTTCGAAAGCTGAGGTGCTGTGGACCGTCTCACACTCACCCAGGCCCATCAGCTGATCCACGCCTCCCTCCACCTCTTTGCCTCCGTCTCCGACCCCCACGACGCTGTCCCCGCAGGGACTCTGCTGGTGGCTCATGTCTGCATCCTGCAGACGAAGGCAGGAGGAATAAGAGTGAAGGAGGCAGACGGTGAATTAAATCCAAGGTACTGGTTCAGATGCAGTGGTCTGCTGCACAGTCAGCGTCTTTGTTTACTCCCACATTAACAGGTATGATTAAAAAACTAATCCTGAATGAATTATTGTAGAAATCTTTAACTATTGAACAGCAGCATACAAAGTTCAGGAGGCTCCATGGCTTTTTAATGCAGCTAATCAAAGGTTATATGGAGGAAAGAAAACGTAATTCTTCTTGCCGTAAACACAAAAATGTGTTGGACTTCAAGTCTCTCCTGAACAAGAAAGAAATGAAGCTGCTGACCTCATCACCTACAGCATCAGGTTGAAATTACTTCAGTCTATACATGACTCATTGTACGGTCAAATCTAGGCAAAAAATGCAAATAAAAACCATCTAGTTTTATTTACGACTATAAAGGTACCAGAATAACCCATACCAGTGTTACAAGAAATATATATTTGTAAGGTTCATTCACTGAAAGCAACTAAACCTAAAAAAGCAATATTTAAGCTTCTGTAAGACTAAAATGCAGTGGTAAATCTAATTAATATACCTGGCTAAGAACAGCAATAATAGGCTTTAAATCTGCAGTATTTAAATGAGAGGGCACGGGCCGGGAAGTCAGCCTGACAGAGGAGCTTTGTTTAAGAAAACTCCATCATTATTATCAATAGTAAGAGATAACAGAACAATATGTGGGGCAGATGGTGTATTTCGCTGCATCTCATTAGCTCAGATTGAGCAGCCCAAACAACAGATGGTAAAGCCACTGCTGGGCTGTGATCTAAGCATCATTAGATCAATCAGCGGATTACACAACCACATTAAAGACACCCAATTGTGAATTTCAATGACAGCATTTTTATGTGCTTAAAGCTGAACCAGATACATTTTTATACAGAAGATTAAAGATGAAGCTGATCCTGTTTGTTAGAGGGCAAGAAAACTAATGCTCAGCAGTGAGTCACTATTGTTTAATCTGGAGCAGGAAGTAAATTGAAGGAGACACCTGTAGCTGACAGCTATGAGTGGTGACAGGAGAGTTTCTGTTTAAACCTGCCTGCCATGCCTGAAGAATGGTACAGACCTCTGGCTTTAACATTCCTGTGAAACAGATGGCGAAGATCTCCAGGTTTCCTCATTTTAAGAATTTCGTGACTCCATCTTGAAACGTTCATTTCGATTCTGATTGGTCAGCTTCAATGCCATGTACCATAACTCCAAATATGGTACATGGCATATTTGCTGCTTTTACTTTATTTTTATTTTAAATAACAAATCTTAAGTGATAGATATCAAAAGTCACATTGTGTGACAAGATGTTGCATGCATCAACAGATAAAGGGAATATCTGTGCAGATATTTAATAAAGACAATCTGAGCATTGATAGAAATATTGTTCTTTTTAGGTGTCATACAAAGTCAAATCCACTGTAATTCATTTAAGTTGTAGGTCACATGTGCCAAACTCAAGGCTCGGGGGCCAAATCTGGCCCGCCCTAGCTTTTTATGTGGCCGTTCAGACTCCAAATTACATCAATAAGTTCTTCCAGTTCTTCACAAATCTACAAAATTCCCACAAAATCAGCAAATCTCTACATTTTTTCTGATTTTAGTGCAAATCTTCTCAAAATTAGTTAAACAATTAGTGTAAGTGACTCAGCTTTACTTGCTCTCAAGTCATCAGACATAAGTGCAAATACTGTAAAAATTCCTCAAAACATTTCTAAATGTCATTTTGACTGCAAACAAAAACACTAAAACAATCCCAAACTGCTGGAAGAACAGTAATTTATTGATATTTTAACAGTTTGATTTGTTTTATCAATGCATTCTGGCACAACCGGCTCATTAGGAACATTCAGATTTTTGACATGGCTCCAAAATGAAAACGAGTTCGCCATCCCTGTTGTAGTTAATAAAGATTTTTGAGAGCAATATCAATGTCAGTTGAGCAATTTTAGCACCTTTCGAACATTGTTGCTAAAAATGTTATAATCTTAAATTTTTTACTAAAAAATATTAAGACTACAGAAATACTGAATAAAACAGAAGTGGACAAAAGTTGCTTTTTTTCTTTTCACTTTGTTTTAAGTTTTGTGTTTCAGGTAACATAATATTGTTTTGTATGGATGCCAGCATAAGCAGCTGTGACTGTCCAAGCTGCCCTGACAGAGTGCAGAGTGGAGTGTTTTCACACAGCATTGCTCAGTTAAAGAAGATGCTTACATCTAAACCTCTAATGCTACGTCAGAGTTTTACCCTCTGAACCTTTTAAATCAAGCAGCTTGCCATGGGTGTTTCCTCTTGACTTGGCGACTTAATAGCTAGCCGTAAACGTAATTTCATTCAACAAGAGTGCAGCTAATGAAGCGCCAACATTTATAATTATAATGTTACTGGTTTAAAGTTTAAATGATGGGAATATTCAGTGTCACTGAACAGATATTTAACGTGCATCTCTGAAAATAAGGCAAATGAATCTGATTGATAGGCTTTAAAAAAATGTTATTTATGAAGTAACAGTGATCCACATCCACAAAGTTTTACATAAATTTTTTGGGGCGGTTGTGAGAACATAAGGTGGAACAGTTGTTTCATTTTACAATTCTCATTTCAGTTGTTAAGTGAAATGATATACGATTTCCTTTTTTCATTGTTTTACAATTAAAAATGTTGAAAATGTGCTGTATATTTGTATTAGTCAACATTTTATAGAACCTTTTGTCTCTGTAATTAAAGTTGCAAGATTTTTTTATCGTATTTCAAAGCTTTTATTTGGACTGAAGCAAACCTTGACTAATTCTTCCTAAAACATTAATATAATTTGATCTAAACCATTCCACTCTTTTTCTAGCTGCATGTTTAGAGTTTTTGTCCGACTCTAAAAGTTAAATCTCCTTTGTAATCTTTGAAGCCGTCAAAGATCAACTAGATTTATACTGAGATTAAATAACACAGCGGCAAACTATAATCAGATGATATCTAAAGGTTACAGGTAGAGTAGAAATATAACTGTGTGCTAATATCCACTGATTTATCTTCTTTAAATCATAATTTTTCATCCATCAAAGCTATCTGCTATTTTATACAAGTCTGTCACATAAGATCCAAACACAATACATTGAAACATGTGGTTGATACGTGAAAAAATAAGTAACAATTAAATGAATATTACCAGGAAGGGTGTTTAATATTATATGTAGCTTCATTTAAACAAGTATCCAGATAAACCATCTGTGAGAGAAAGTGACAAACTTGTATGCATAATAAAAAGTGATCCTTGCCATCTTAACAGGAAGATACATTAAAACTTGCTGCTGTCAGGATCACAGATGGAGAAGTAAAATATATCCGAAGATGTGGCTAAGATGCTGCCTCCGATCTCCTTCTGTGACATAGAAGGAGATGTCACAGAAGGAGATAGTTCACTACAATCAATGTTTAAACGGATTTGTAAAGGACGCACAGAGTCTTCACGTGAATAACAAGGTTCTGCTGACTGGCAGAGTAACCACATGTAGTAACAGGCCAGCAGATAAAAGCTACATAAGCTGAGCTAATTTTGCTAGTTTGGCAAAAAGTACCATAATAAATATCACTGATATTTATCTTCGTGTTACACAGAAGTGGGTAGAATATTCAAATTGTAATCGAGTAATAGCTGCAATCTACTTATATTGTTTATAAGTCATAGAAACTTGAATGCTAGTTCTATGTTTGTGCGGTCTTTTTTCTTGCCATAGCAACTCCATCGTAACGGCCTGCCAAGATGGCTGCCAGTTACAAAGTTCACGGAGGTCGCATGACTATGCATTTTATTTATCATAGTATTGTGAGATCTTCCATTGTGTTAAAGATCCTCTTGTTTGAAATAAAGTGAAAATGTTTGTCATATGTGTGGAAGGAAGATCACACCTCACATCCGGATCTAAACGAGCGACAGCTCGGTGGGAGCAAGTAACTGATGTTAAAAGAAAATGGACTCATAAAGCCTGGTGTTGCTTGCGAATTTTTTGTTTGTTTGTTTGTTTTGTGTGTGTGTGTGTGTGTGTGTGTGTGTGTGTGTGTGTGTGTGTGTGTGTGTGTGTGCGTGTGTGTGTGTGCGTGTGTGTGTGTGTGCGTGTGCGTGTGCGTGTGTGTGTGCGTGTGTGTGTGTTCACCCACCAGCTCATACATGAAATCTGGGTCAGAGCTGGTGGCCAGCAGCTCGGTGCTGGTTAGGGCCTGGTCAGCAAATGAGTAGTTCTGAAAGGCATCCCCAAAGGGAGGCTCCATCCCACTGACGCTGGGCTGCAGCACAACACAAAAAGAAAACACACAGAGTGAGCAAAAACAAACTAAGTCTGATCAACTCTGTTAACTTGAGAATGTTTTGCTTCTTTTCAGTAAAGCTAACAGGATATTAAATTCTAATTCATCCAAAAATCTGAAACACAAATTAGCCAAACAGAAACACTAAATGCTAGTTCTGTGTAATTTTTTGCACTACTGTAAGCAGTTAATCTATTTTTTGCACAACATATAATACTCTCAGCGATTGTCACAACTTTATACAACCATCTTATATCTTCAGACACTTTCTGATAAACAGGAAACCAAATGTTCAGCTCATGATAATTATCTGAGGTAAAGTCTGTCTCCATTATATCCACCGTATCAAAAATGATTGGCTTATAATCATCATATACAGATTTGTTATTAACAAGAATGTTGGTTCAGTTTTGACAGTTTTCCAAATGTTTTATTTATAATAAGAAAGAAGATGAATAATTTAGCAGGCATTTTAATGTTTAGTGTAAGAGTAAACTTCTCAGTGGATTAAAACACTGCAGGTCTACAGGGTGGAAATTAAAGGTGATGTGCAATTACTTACATTAATGTAATGAATCAGTCATAAAATCACATTTTATAAAATTGAAATCTTTCACGATTCTCAAAGGTTTGAAAATATGTGAATTTTGGTTGAAAGCTGAATCAATAAAATGTCAATTTTATTTTGATAATGGATAATTGTGGCTTTGCTTTCATGCTGCAGCTCATTCAACTTCACAGATTCACATGTCACCCCCTACATCTCCAGAGTCGCGCTACATGTCTCCTAGCTCATTCAGCGATGCATTCACTTGCACTCGGGCATCTGATTTTTGCTCATTTAAAGGTCCTTCAGCCAGTGCATTTACAACAAATGCAATGTCATGTTTGATTTTTTTAAAGGTTGTCAATCATTACATTTATGAGATGTGACTAAAACGATTACAACCCATAGCAACACACAACTTAATGTTTGTGCTTGTGAAACATGCAAAGATTTGTCTCCAATTTGTAGATTTCATTTACACTTTTCATGTCAAATATCGCACAATTTACCATCAAATTTCCACAGTTCTCAGCCTTGTTTTGCTAGTTTCACAGTTGACATTTATACAATGCTCAGGCAATGCTCAGGCAACACAAGGACAGACAGATGGATAATTGTGGCTTTGCTTTCATGCTGCAGCTCAGGCCGAAGGATTGGGAGACAGATGGATGAATGGTCAAAGGGTTGGATGGATACACATTTTTAGAGCCTGGCAAAGGGAAATATAAATATCTCTCTATATTCTGTTTCTTTTCAACACTTAAAACAAACTACACTTTTCAAAACCTCTTCAGATTGCGCAAGAACCCTGAATGTAAAACTAAGTGCTTTGGTTATTGGTGACCAAGAAAAAAGTGTTGCATACATCTCTGCCTTTATGAGTATGTCCAAAAATGTAATAAAGCTTTCAAATAAAAGTTCGCAATAAATAAGAGAGTCAGAATGAATGAGGAAACAAAGTGTATGAATTCTGAGCACAGACTTCACACAGCATGGAAAAAGCTCCAGGCAAAATGCAAGACCTTTGGTTAGCCAAATGAGAAAACACTATTTGATTACAGCCTTCTACATCTTACAAATGTTCTCCACACAGATTCAATGTTTGAGAAAACCAGGATGGTCTGTAAATGCATCCAGACATTTTAGGTAATGAATAATCAATATTGTAGTTTGTAGGCTGAAGAATAATATAACAAAGAGTGCTGGGTGCATTTATTGACAAAGCTGCTCTCCTTTTTAGCTTTTTGTTATTAGCACCAAAACTGATTCAATAGACGGTTATTTTTCACATCTTGGAATAAACAAAAGAAAAAGTTGATTTTCTCTTTCCCTGCTGCCTCATCTACATCAGCAGCCAAGCTGATGCAGCCAAGCTGATGCAGCCTCTGCAGACGTCAGACTGATCCAGGGTCAGTCAGTCACCTCTAAATCATGACTCATATCTCTGATCCTCTCAGTCTTCAAGCACTTTTGTTTACAAGTTATCCATTTTTGCATGGAATACACATCCAATAGCTACATTTGAAGATCCTTAGAAACATTTTCTGGACATTTTGCACAACTCTGTGTGTATTTATCAACATATCTAATCAGGAATATTGTTTCTGTTGCTTGTCTTACCTGAGGCATTGCCAGGCACAGCTTAGAGCTCCAGTGGCAGGAACCTCTGGGTCTCCTGTCCAGTCCCACTGGTCTGAGTTGGTCAGCACAATAAAACACTGCTGAGGGGAGATGATCAGAGTCCAGGGGGAACACAGCCTGCAAGGCTGGGAAGAAAGGGGAGACAGCGTCTTGTCTGTCGTGCTCTGGCGTATTTCTCTGTATGCTTCAGATCTGCAGAAAAAAAATTGAAAAGATGTTACGATGAAGAAAAATGTCAAAAACAACAACAAAACAATTTAAATTAAGCTTCAGGATGTAGGTATAACAACGCTAGGTTTGTTTCTTTTGTCCCACAAATTATTTGTTTTTTTTTATTGCAAGTTATGCAGTGAAACATTTACCAATACTATCCTGAATTACATGTCTCCTAATATTGTGCATCCCTAACTTTAAAATACATCCTCACAAACCCCAAATTAAATATTATTAACAGAGAGCGTATTGTAAGCAAGGGAAACTCTAGAAGCTTTAAATTGTGGGGAATGTTTAGTTTTTACTTGTGCAACACATCAAAATTCTGCTTTGGTGATTGGAGCTAAACTAGTAGCAAAGCATGTCTAAATCTATTTAACTAATTTCTAGCACTTTCAAGAGACAGATGATTTTTAAAAGGTTTAGAAAAAATTACAACACAATCAGTCTGTAAGCACATGAACAAACAGAATAGTTTTATGATGGACTTTATTTTCTATATATGCGGTACATCCTATATATTTCCATTCCTGGGCTTTATTTCAAACATTAGACATTTTTACTCAGGCTGTTTCCTGAGTGATAATGTTTTGTGGTGATTGTTAAACTTGTATTTAAATCACTGGCTTGAAAATGTTGATAAAATTTTCCCTTTTGCTAACCTCCAACCCTTAAACACTATTGTTTAACTTCCAAATTGCTTTACAGCCCATAGAGAAAGCACAATTTGCTCTCAATGAACCCAAACACCATAAAGTTATCACATTAGCACCTTGCTTCTTTTCCTCTACTTGCTTTGTTCACAGCTGAAACACGTGGCCCTTATTTATCTCAGCTGTTTTTGCATAACAAATAAAAAGATCTCCATGGGGACATGACCCCAAGCAGCAATCACATGATGCACAAAAAAAAAAAAAGAAAAATCTCTCACCAATCCTACTCCTCTAAGAGGCCACTGAACAACACCACTTCCTCTTGCTCAGTGTTGGCTGACAAAAATAAGCTTCTCACCCCTGACAGTTCCATCTCCCCATGTACAGGCTTTGCATAGAGACAGGAAGTAGCAGAAAACACTGCTGTGCAAACTATTGGTTCGACTGCAGTTGCATAAGCAACACCTTATCAAACACAGAAACTGCTGCAAGCTCGCAGTCTCTGTCTGTGGACACCTAAATGTTTAATCACCAGAACAGATCTGGAACTAGATAAACATCCAAAATAACAAATTGGAACCATCATCGGACCTTGGTGTGCAAGGTGTTCCGGCGCATTTGTGGCAGCTCTAGAATGAGGAAACGCACGGCTTAAACACAACAAAGCAGCTGCATCAATCCCACTGCAAAGAGCCAAAGAGCAAAACGGAAGAAAACATCAAGAGAACTCTTCAAAGCAAAATTAAAACAAGCTCGAGTGATGATGCAGAGATCATTTTCCCAAAGAAAGATCTGAATGTAATGACGTACCACAGGCTCTTACAGGCCAGAATGAAGAGCTAAAACTTTGTGATAAAAGCCATTAAGGTGCATTTAATAAAACAGTCTTCACTTCAAGCAATTTTACAGACTTACAGAGATAATTAACTAACAGCAGCTGTTCAAATTATTCAATCAAATGTCAATTTCTGTTACTTTCAAGATTTCGTTATTATTTGTTGCCTTTGCAATGAACTTTGTCCTGACTAATCACAAATCTTTAGAGCAGAAAAACACAACTTCCTGTTTGCAAGTCAAACTTGTTGGTGTCTACTACAAACTGAAAGCACAAAAATATCCTCTGCTGAGCTTTAATTTGCAAAGCGGCATGAAAAATACAGCAAAGAGTTTCAATCTCGTGTTTTAAAGCAGAATTATCTTGGAAACGAGATCTGAGGAGAATCAGAAGGTCTTGGTTAATTTTTCCATATTTGTTTAATTGCAAAGTCGGTGAATCAATTAAATCAGTTCAGACAGATGACTTTGTTCTAATTGGGTCGTGTGTAATTAGGGCTGGGTGATATGACTTCAAAATAAAATGTGCATTTTTAGACCAAATTTGATTTCTGATTTCTTTAATTTTTTCCTTGTTTCTTTCCTTCAAAACATTTGAAATAACAGAAAATATGTTTAGAAACTATTTTTTATGTAAATAATTCTTTTTTCAAGAAAGAATTATTGTTTTCAAACAGACTTTCAAACAAGATAGTAGTTCTTGGGCTGGCTAACATTAATGAACTAAGGAAACAAAGGAATGCATTGATGAAAACAAATTATAAAAATCAAATTTTTTCAAAGATCACATTTCCACAAACAGAGAATTCTAATAGCCAATAAAAGTTATTGGTTATTAGAGCCGATATTGGTTATTAGAGGCGATAAAAGGCCTGGCCGATTTATCACCCAGGCCTATATGATAATCTCACTATATGAGCACAATTTATATGATTGTGCTTATATGAACTAATCTGGGTATAATTAAATATAATATAATAATAAATCTGCTTGTTCATTAAAGTGCTGTATATACTGTCTTGAAAAAGTAGCTTATTAACCACCAAACTTTTTTTCTGGAGATGTTTCACATTGCAAACACTAAATGTATCTTCCTGGGACAAAGCAACACAAAGTAGCGCAGAATTAGGAGGTAGATTGAAAATGAAGCACAGTTTTTAAATTTTCTGCTAAGAGAAACATGAAAAGTCATAAATGCCTCAACTCTAAATACAAGGAAATGATTTAAATAAAAGTAGAGCTTGTTCAACGTAATCAAACTATTTTGCTGTTGCGGCAAGAACATAAAAATGATGTGAAAATGTGAACGATTCGAGATATCAAATCACTTTTTTTTGAAGCCACAATGAAAAAACCTGGATTGAATCTTAAAGCGTTAGCTCCAAACAGCTAGCAGACAATGAAAAGCTCCAACTGCGAGTCTGCTGTGCTCATCTCATATCTCCCACCATCATGAAAACAGGTGATATTTTTGCCCTACAACACTGGATGTGGTCCAAGTAGGCCAATCAGCAGTACCTCCTCTGGAATGAGTTACCCACTGATACCAGGGAGGCGCTAATTACTGCAGAAATAACAAGCCGAAGATGCCAGCCTGTTTATGAAAGGGGTATGTGAGAGCACACATCACAAAAGGTTGTTAATCCTCAAGCCCTGCATGCATTCGGACAGCGTGGCAACAGACTGAAATAGATGTTAAATAACAGTGGATTGTCCCTAAAGGTTAGGGATTTTCATGGCTTGTTTAGATGACTAACAGAACGAGCAGACAGGTGGTAATAGGGCTGAGCACCACTTATTCTTTTCCAATCGTTCACTTCCGACAGAGTTATGGGCATGCAGTATAGCTATTCACATTATCAATATATACAAGTAAATCTAACTTGTGTGTGTGTCTGGGGTTCAGATGTTATTTAAGATCTGAATAGAAGCAGCTGTATGTTTTTTCTACATGCTGCTGTTGGGTTTATTTGCACAACAGGAACAGTGTTTTATCAGTTGAGAGAAACAGGGTCTTTCACTTCACTCAAGGACACGATTGCCACTCTCACAGTTACATGCGTGTCTTTTAGAGGTTCCAGGATGGAACCTCCAAACGCCTGGCTTTCCAGGTTTTCAGACCTGGAAAGCCCATAAATGAAAAGCCAGGCTTCTGCAGCTGGCATGTGAAACGTGTATCTGAAATTAGTGATGCATGTCGTCAAAGTTTAAGCTGAAACATCGTCTAATTTGGTGTAAATACAATACAATGTATAAAGATTAGTGAACTTTTTTTGTAAGTAAGACTAATTGATGTCTGGAAAGCAACTTTACTTTTTACTTAATGGCATCACAGGCTAATTAAAACCGTGAGAAATGCATTTCCTTGTAATAATGCACCTGTCAAATGGCTACTGACTGAAATCAACCCTCAAATTTAATTAGTAAATTTGAGGTTTCACTTTAATACAAACACTGTAAATTCACAAGGAGTTGGCAGTTATGTCTAGTTGTTATTTACAATTGTCAATATTATCCGTAGATCGTCTTATGAGTTCGTTTGTAACTATTTTGTTTATGCAATATGACTTATTTGTTGGCTCTTTATCCCAGTACAATGTACAGGCACATCAATATTATAACTTGGTTGTAATGACCAATTTTTGGTAATAATTAAGTCAGTAAGTAATGTTTCATTAAATTGAGATAAGACAGGATTAAATAAGTGTTCACTTCTTCTGACTCTTTTTCAAACAGAAAGGTTGTGGTAAACAAATTATTTTGTTCTGACATCTTTTCTCTGCCCTACTGACTGCTTGTTTCCTTGGTTTTTAAAACCTGTTTGAAATACATAAATCAAATAAAAAAAATTAAAGCTTAAAGTTCACTTTTTCAACCAGTAAAAGCATAAATTTAGAGTCAGTTTTCTGGTGACCTTGGTCTTAACTTCAGTGCAATCATATAAGGTTTAGGGGACAACAGTTTTAACAACTCTGGTAATTCTTTAATTTTCTGTTGGACTTGAAAGTATTACCTGGATTAAGGAACCTGCAGCACACTTTATGATCTGTGTGTGTGTGACATATAACAGTAGACTTAAAACTCAGTTCAGAATAGTTTTGGTGTTATTTTCTCCAGGAAGAGAATTGGATCAACCTGATCGGTGCAGATCTGATGTTGTGACTTGTACTGAGCTGATATGAGAGTCAAAGGACATGATGACTTTGACTAAACATATAAAGTTTTAGAGTACTGGCACAATACAGTATTAAAACAAATAATACAAAAAGCATAAAATAATCTCATTCCCTTGAATTAAAAGAGAAAACCAATATTCTGCTACAAAACAATATATTCCACTGACGATTATTGTTTTTGTTATTACTTCTACAAAACCTCATAGCTTATAGTTAAAAGTTTCCTTCAGCACTTGAACACAAGAAACAGAGGACAATTATAAAGGACATCAAGTGCTAATCGAATGTGTGAATCTAGTCGACAGAAGCTCAGTAACAAAGCTTTAAACCAAGAGAGGAAAACCTCAAATGCTTAGAGCCACAAATACTTGAAGATCACAGCCTCATTCGGTGGAAGTGTGTTGATTAATAGGATGAAAGGTTGAGCAAACAAGTCTTACTTAGTTTTAAAGGATCTTTTAATTGTGTTAGAAATAGGCATAGATAATTCCAGTTAATTGCAGCACAACAGTGTAATAATCTCTGGGAGCAGGCTGCTTGAGCTTTTCCTGCTGAGACAGGTTTGCTCAGTTAAAGTCATTGATTTAAATGCTGCAGAAACAGAGCCCCTTGTAGGCTGCAAAGCCTCAGAATTACACCAGTAAGGTTTGGTTAAAAACTAGCATAAAAGTACTAGTAATATAAAACATGAAAAAGGTTTATTTTAATTTCACAGACAAGCAAACATTCAACTTGATGTTTGCTTGTCTGTTTGCATCTCTGGTTCATGTGTCGTGAACCAGAGATGCACGACATATTGGGATTGCCTTCGGTATCGGCTGATAGGCATTTTTTAATGTATCGGTCCAATAATTGGAACTGTGACGACATTAACAACCAATGTTTATTGGAGGTCGCTCATGTGACAGTGATGCAGCAAAGGATTGTGCTGCATCACTTTAACTTGAGCAAAGGACCAATGTCAGCAATGTGGATGTTTTTGACAGTGTTGAAATGGTAAGAAAATACTGGATATCCATATCTGCCCAAATTTTTATATCAGTGCAGTTTGAAACTTCAACAACTTGCAGAACATAAAAAATAATGTGGTTTTGAATTATAAATGTGCCAAAGGTAATACTAGCTACCAGCTACTCCAAAATAGACACCCCAAGACAAATAAGCCATCTAAAACTCTTGTTATAAACTACTTTGACATTTTGTCCATAACTTTTGGGTTAAGCCGATGTATCTATATTTAAGTAACAATTTAGTATTAATTTTAAAAATATATATATTATTTGTGTAATAAATTAGATAGTACATTATGCTAGCAGAAGTAGGGATAATTGTTTTTTATTATTATTAATTCAACCATATTATGTATTCTTAATATAAAAACCTGTGCAAATATGGCATTTCCTTGAATCAATACAATATTTCCTAGCTGGAAACAGCTCGTTAATTTATAATGATGCACTTCATGTTATTGTCTCAAAGGACATTATTATCACTGAAACCAACAGTCTCTTTACATCAAGCGCTGTTGATGAAACTGTAATAAGCTTTAGATTTTTCCAAAACATTTTTGGGATCACCATGCTGACATAAACTGACATTTTGTTTCAGAAATAAAACCGTATAATCAATGTATTTCTTTTGTATTTCAAACCTGACAGCAGGCAAGAGCATCACCACCAATACTATTGAATAACACGCTGGCAAGTGTCACAATTGACCTATATTATTCCCCAGTAAAGCCAGAAAATCACCAGTGTCTCGCCAGTCTCTGCTCCCATCACAGATCTCTGCAAAGCAAAACAAATCGTCAATCTAACAGTCTGCGCCAACACCCACGTAAGCTCGCTTTCCTATTGGTCTAAGAGAAACGAAGGCCCGCCTTCTGGAGTGCCTGATAGGCCACATTTGCCGTCAATCACAGAACCTGCTTTATCATAAACAGCTTGTTTCAATCTAGGTTGAAGCAGAAGATAAACAACCAGGAGGCCTACATCACCGTGCCCTACATATTATTATTTATGAGATATCTACACAAAATCACACAAAAAACAAAGTTCACACAATAAAATCGTTAACACTGCGTGTATGTTCGTGTTTTCTCGAAAAGACAAACATGTATGCATAGACTTATTCACGCTGACTCGGTCGATGAATCCCCAAACAGGATTTTTTAAAATAAAGGAAAAACAAAATGCAATCATCTTGCAAGAATAACGCTGAATGTTTGGACTCACAATGTATCTGAGCTGGGATCACATGGATTTGCCGAGCATTTCTCCACCAACACAGGAAATGTTCGATGTTGGGGGGCGTGTACCATGGGACACCTAATGCTGCAAAGTCAGACTTTTTCCTCCACAATCACACTTAAACACTTATGTAATCCTATATAATCCGAATGCATAGGGGAAATGGGTAAATATAATGATCAAAGCGATGCTTTTCTTGACAGTTTATGCTCCTTACATAACAGTTGTTTTTACCCAAACGGACACGGAATCAGCTGCTCTACGAGCTTCGTGATACCAAAGCAGCAGAAAGTCATCAGAGTGATGTTTTGGAGCAGCTGACCGACATTTATATCAGCTAATCAAACGTTTCTCTAGCTAGCTAACGTTTCTCCTCCTCGACAAACAGCCGAAAGCGACGACAAATGCCACTATAAGATTGTTTGTTTGCCTTGAATTCAACGTCAAAGAGCCGAAATTACACATACTGCCATATTTTCACCTGCAACTCGGTCAGTATGGCCTCCGTCCGCCCCCTTCCTCATCCCAGCTGTAGCCCGACACTCAACAACAAGAAGCAGCTAGCTGCGAAGCTAACAAACCTCCGCGGCCGAAACACACACTCAAGTGTCCATAAACGCACCATTAGTGGTCCTACTCACTTTTAAGACTCCCATGCATAGGCCTCGTTCGTTACTAGACATCAGTGTTTGAGTTAAGCCGATAACTTTTAAAATATGTCCCTTTCCAATGGAGTCCACACGGTTTAACAGCTCTCTCGGGTTTGTTTTGTTTTTCTCCTTCCTGACGGGTTTCTGGAAAACGCGTGACTACCAGACCAACGTGGTGCGCCCACCAGCCAATGGGAGAAGAGCTCCGAGCTGGAGAAAAACACTTCTTAATGTTTTAGAAGGTTTTTATAGGTTAAAAGTCACAATGCAGATCTGCAAAACAGCTTGAAGATGGCGAATATTGTATAAAAAAAACAATCATTAAAAGAAAAGTAGCAGAGCTAAAATGTTTACTCAGGCGTGCACAATGATAATATATTCTTAACATACTTCTATATTATTTTGAGTAAACAGCTTCATTACTTTGCTATTTATTTCGTGTAATGAACAGTTTTTGCTTTGCTTTGTTTATAAACTGTTTGAGAACGTTCTCCACCCCAGCTTTCGTTTCACTTGTAAACTGAAACTAATGTGGCATATTAGTGCATGAAGACATGAGACAAGTAAAGAGACGCTAAAGCTCAACCTTTTACAGAAAAAAAGGGACAAAAATAAGAGGCGAAGCTTTTCTTTCGGTTTCAAAATTGCTCAGGAGAAATAAATGAAAGTTAACAAAATGGTGAGTCAGTATGGAGGTCGAAAAGTGCTGAAGTTTATAAGAAAAATAAAAATCATCATTTACTTGACTAATAGATTAAACATGAAAATAATTCATTAGCAATGTATAGTTTATCAATAAACAATATTATCTTATTACCAAGTCGAAAAATGTGACAGATGAATCAGATAATGAAAACTAATTATGAAAGTCCAAAATATGCAGCTATTTATAAATATATATAAATAATTAATGTGTTGGAAATTAATTTAGTTTTTTTATAAACAACAGATTAAATTGTTTAAATATGTACTGAAAAAAGTCACATATATTTATTTGATTTAGAAAAACATCTGTAATTATGTAACTATTTTTGTAAGTAATTGTAAGGCTGCATCCTAAGTGCCAAAAGCAGCAAAATATGATAAATAAACAATCAGTAATTATTGACACTTTTCACAAAATATATTTTGGTATAAACAAATATTAAGGAAATAGCTGCATTGATTACATAATAAAATGATAAATTAATTAATTAAATGAGAAATTATTATTTTTATTATTATTATTTACTTAGTGTACGTATATAAACACATAGTGCATAGTTTAGGGTATTCTGGGTAACTCACATCAATAACTGTTTATCAATGTCTACCAATGATCACAACGTCCGGTTTGTCGACGTTTTTGGATGTCTATATTTGAATCGATGTTTAGTTTCCAAGTACTGTGTCTGAGTAATTCTGAAACTGAAAGAAATGTTTTAGCATTTAGACTTTTTTCTTTTGCTCCTTTTCTGTTTCTTATTGTATTTTCTGTAAGTTGGAGAGGAATTAGGTTGATCTTCACTCTAAAATTTAGATTTAAAGTAGACATAACCAAAGAAATAGTAATAAATTTTCATTTAAATATTTAAGTGTGCATTATTGACATTTAATGACAGATACACTGCTTTCTTTATTTAAAGTTTTATTTCAGTGATGGCATGGATTAAATAACAGATTTCCTTTTATTATGTTCTGGCACTTTTTGCACTCATTATGTCCAAAAGTTGTTTTCTCTTTGCCCAAACAGTCACAACTGAGCTGTGAACAAAACTTTTTTTTCTAAATAGTTTAATTTCTGCCCATTGATTGACAAATTCTATTCCTTGAGGAAATTTTGGTCCACACTGTGTAAATAAATATGAGCAACAAACATATCCATGACAAACTTAAAGTGCCCAACAACACGTTTCAGAAACGAGCAAAAAGTAAAACATTTAGACATTAAGAGGTTCAAAAGAAGAGTCTATTAATCTGCTCCATGTTAACAACACACAGCCTGCAAAGTATGAGGATCAATATATTGAGAAGATGTAGAGTATTAAAAACTCAGAATGTGTGTGAGTTCTGTGGAATTTCATAGCTGGCAAAGAAACAGGACTTCTCAGGAATTCAGTGCTGCTTGGAAACCTTCTCGTGTTTTTCCCGTTAAGTTCTGCTGCTAATAATTGCAGTTTATATGTAGGAAGTACAAAAAGTACTGAATACGTTTTACTTTAAATGTAGAAAGTTGAAGCAAAAATGTTGTCATTATAATTAAATGTCAATTTATAAAACAACTTACTGTTTTTCTGTTTATGCATTTAAAAATGCAGTCATCACAATCAATTCTTTAAAGACCCTTAAATAGCATGAGCTACAAAAAAACCCTGTTTAGTTCTCCTTTGAAATATTTTTTTAAATGAATTTGTTCACACAGACCGTCCATTCAAGATGACTGAATGTGAGCGATTTACCAAACATGAAAGGACGAAAGAGAACAAATCAGTCTACAGGAAAAACAGAATAGCAGTAAGACAGATAAAAAATATGCTAAAAAAAAATACAAGATACACTTTTCAGTTTTATGTGTAAAATAACATGCATAATGTTATTTTCTCTATAATTTTTCACCACTTTGTTGGTTTTTTGCATAACTCATCCAAAATTTAATAGTCACATTTTAAGGCATTGCACATGCTAATTATTAAACACTTAAGTAAAGTTTGTTTTCACTTATGTACAAACAAGATGCAGATTTTTTTCATTCTCATTCTATCCATTCATCCATTTTCTAACACCCTTGTCCCTAGTGGGGTCGGGAGGTGTTGATGCCCGTCTTCGTCCCGGGTGAGAGGTGGAGTCACCCCGGACAGGTCGCCAGTCTGTCGCAGGGCAACACAGAGACACACAACCATGCACACCCAGGGAGAATTTAGAGACCAATTAACCTAACAGTCGTGTTTTTGGACTGTGGGAGGAAGTCAGAGTACCTGGAGAGAACCCACGCGCATGAGAGCATGCAATCTCCGCGCAGAAAGATCCTGGGCCAGGAATCGAACCCAGGCAAGTCAACAGTGCTACCCACTGCTCCACCATGCAGCCCAATTTTCATTCCACTCTGGAAAAAAATAATTATTGAAGGGCTATGTTACAGAGTTAGATCTATTGTGTCAGCAATTTCAGACTCAAGACATATTTTCTAAAAGGCTTCCAGCTAAATTATGAATAAAATTAGATTTCTAAAAGTCATCTAATATCTAAAGGTCATCTCTAGGTTTGGCTCAGCATCCCCTCTGATGTTTAAATACTCCCCATGTAGCAATAAAGTTGTGTGCCATATTCATACATAAAACCTAGACTGGCTTATCCTCTCTGATGAACTGGACGGAGTTCAGAAAAAGGGGAGTAAAAAGATAAAAGCTGTAAATTAAATAGAACATGAACGTAATCCCACCGGGGGCATCCACACTGCCACAAGATCACAGCTCTGCTTACAAACTTGTGAGGAAGAGAATGAGATAACAGTAAAAAAAAAAAAAAACAAATGAGGCACTTTGATGCCACTTGTAGACAATTTCTAAGACAAAATCACATTATTTATTAACTAAAGCCTCTTTCAGTCACAAGATATTCAGAAGACAAGAAATGCATTTTATTCTCCGTTCACCGACATTTGCAGCTCAAATCCGGAGACAGATCGACGTCATCCTTTAAAGTTTTACATTTTTAGAGAAGGGATGTGCTTAGTGTCGCGCTCATGCTGGAGTGGAAAGAAAATGTTTCATGTAAATTATCAGCAACAGCAGATTGGCGCTCAGCTTTGTTTTCTGTCCAGTGTGAAAGCTGACTGGCTCCAGTCCCTGAAAAAAATTCTTTCCACTGCATTACGCAACAAAAACAGGAAGGGGGGAATCATTTAAAAAAAAAAAGAAGAAAAAAAAAAGGCGCCGGGATAGAGCATAGCACCAGTGGTCACTGCGATACGTCACTGCATAGCTGTGATTACTCCATTATCGAGATCCCATCGTGACAGAAACTATCATCACATTTACATTCTAATTAACTGAAAGCCCTTTGAAATGTTAATTACTCTAATTCAGCTTCAAAATGCAATTGACTCATTTACCACACAGAAATATATCAAAAGGGTTTATTTAGTTCATTAAATCGAAGCGGGCAATAAAAAAAACCTGTTTCTGAGACAGTTTAAATATTACATAAAGCAAGAAATAAAATTGCCTCTAATACAGATGTTATGTAATCACTGGAAAGACTCTGACTTCCAAGTTATCCAGCATACAGAGGCTGACACAATAAGCCATAAAAAAGAAACTGGCTGGTCATAGAGTGCTGTATAGAAGCATTGCAAGGGAAAGTTTCGTGGAAGGAAAAAATGTGTTAGATAAGGTTTAGCTGCTTGTGAGGATTGTAAGCTGAAGCCCATTCAAGAGGTAAATTTTAAGGATATGGGCTTAAAATGCCATATACTTATGTTCCACAGTACCTTAGCACACATAACTGCTTCTTTTCTTGTTTTAAACTCTTTTTACTCAGTTTTCCAAACACCTCGTCTTTGATTGAAGTAGATTTTGCATTTTAGTTGGAAATCAAAGTCGGAAGGTCTCAATGAAGAGGAGAGGATCAGAATCCAAGACATTTGTGAAGTTTCCACATTTAGTTTTGACAGGGAGAACATCATCAAAAGTATTTTGTGTTAAAATTGTTTCTTTTTTTATTGCTCAGGGTTATGGTAGCAAATCAACAGGCCAGATACTTCAAGCCAAAAATATAAACTGCTTGACATTCTTCTTTGTGTGGAAGGAAGATTGACAAAATTAAAAAACATCCCAATAAAGGCCTGCAACATGCATCAATTCCCCTCTAATTATTTCACAGGCAAAACCAACTGGAAAACTAAAACATTGCTCCATGTTTGTTTAAAAAGTCTCATAAGTTCTTATTTTATTTAAGTCGATTTATGACTAATTTACAGCAACAGGAAGATTTTTTTATGGAAACATGGTCAAGACACTTCAAGAAGCTTGAAATCCTTTGATAAAAGATTTTAAGGCTAAATATCTGCAAGTTAAGATAAACAGAACCATATTCTGCTGCATCACCATACACATTCACAATTCCCCCCCAAAATCCCTTTGAAATAAATTTTTACAGCTGACTTTTCTCCACTTTGAGTTGATTGGATTATAGCTCCGTTTTGATCCGGTGCATAAGATCTTTCTGGTCCACCATGTCCGTCTGTTTGTTCCAGCGGTGGTACGCCAGCAGGGCGATGTTCTTGGCTGCCACCGAGCTCATCTCCATGGCGCTGCCGGCCCATTCGATGCCGTTGAGGTAGTAGAGGTTTGGGTGCAGCTCCACAGGGGGCAGGCCCTGGCTGCTGCCGTACTGAGGGTAGGCCTGCCACTCCGTCACCTGGGCCGAATAGTACGACCTGCAGAGGTCCAGAAGGAAATTGGTTTATTTTGCAGAACTGCAATGGAAACACCTTTTTCACATCAGATGAGTCACACGATCAACAACCAAATGTTGCAGGTCTTCTGGTTCTGCATCCTCAGAACCAGAACCAAACATAAAGAAGCAGCATTCAGCTTTTATGCATCAGATCACAAATCTGGAACAAACTTTAAAACCTTGCTTTAAAGTTTGACGTTGACCAACACATTTGATGTGTACGGATGATTTTGAAGGTTTTCTCAGTTGTTGACTGTATGCCATCTTTTATGACTTTGCATTTTTGTGTTTGCTTTGTTGTTGAGCTTTACAAATAAACTTGATTGACTTTATTCAACTGACCTGAAAAGCGTTTTCAGTTGCGGTTTGTCCAGAGATTGAGGTGAAAACACCTTATAGACGCCGGCTTCCTGCGGCTGCTTGCGCCGGAAGCCGGCTGAGATGTTGACGGGACAAACGCTGGCCACGCTGTTGAAGAACAGGCTGGGCGTCTCAGTCGTGAGGATGCTGGCGAACGGGAACAGACGGGGGTCTGGGAAACCAAAGAAAGACGTGTTGAGGTAGCCGTGAACGATTGTCGCCACGGTGCCGTGATAGATGCCGGGCAGCTCGTCGAAGGGAGGGGCGAAATCCTGGAACTGGAGTCCTGAACCGACACCGGCCTGAAGCGGAGTCGCCAACACTACGATGTCGTACAGCTTCGATCCGACTGCTGATGCTGTGGTGAAGTTCAGCTGGTACTGCAGCACCTCCCCTGAAGCACAGGAGTGAGACAGAGAAAGTGTGTAGTATCATCAAAAACTAATTATTGATTAGTTTATATATATATATATATATATATATATATATAGATATATATGGCAATATTAGTAACATGACCTTGAGTTATGAGGCAGAGTGGAAAAACTTTGAACTGCTGCTGCACAAGCTCTCAACAGGTCGTTGCGAGGTAACAAGAGAGCCAGTGAGCTAGTTGAAGGCACTAACCTTCGTAAGCTAATAGAGGTTGAGAGGCTAAACTCTTTTCTCTGCCTACATCCCCCAGAATGCTGTGCGGTTCTGGATCGGAGTTCAGTGAAATTATTGACAATTCTAATCAGACATATTATCTACTGATATTGATCACAAGGCTATCAATTGTTTAAAAGACGTAAATGTAAACAGAAACCAAAGCTTTCTGTTTAAATGTATTGAAAAAGTAGAAGTCAAACTATTAATCCTGTTCTTTGACTAACTTATTAATGCTGAAAATTAAAAAATATACATATATTTTCTTTCTTGATGGCTATAATAATAATAATAGTTTTTTAGGGTTTAAGAATGGAATACAGAAATTTTAAAGTGTTTTTTAGTTGCTTAAATTCAGACGTTGTTATCCAACTGGCAGGAGCCTCGGATCTGTCTCCATTTATTTCCCCATCACTGAAGTTGTGGTGCTCATATTTTTAAGAAATTTGAACAGTGAAATGCAGTTTTTTTTACAGGAGATGTGACATCAGAAACTAAACCCTTCTGCTGCACTGACATTTTGAAGTGAACACAATCATAAATGTACTCTAAAATGGCCGCTTTATATCAGTTGTGTTTTCTGATGAAGAAAGCAGTAAATCTGTGAATGAAAGGAAGAGAAGTGCAGGTAATTTTCCCATTATGTAAGCAAAGAGAGTTTAGAAAATGTATTAAGTGTATTTAATATGGTTAAACTGAATTTAGAACTAGTTCATTTTCAGGATGAATCAGCAGAAAACTGCTGATCCCTCATCTTCAAAATGGCTAATCCTCTCCATGCAGCAACACAAAGTCAAATCTAAATTAAACTGGATTAGAAGATTAATATAATATTTTTTTATAAAATGTCAGTGGAGGTATACCTGAATGGAGCGGGGAGATAGATGTGACATGAGCCTTCAGTAAGTTAGCGTTAGCCATCTTCAGGAGTCCTGAACACACCTGCTTGTTTCCTCCTTCCACCGCCCACAGGTTGTTCTGGGCACCAGCCAGAGAAACAGCGCCTGAAACACACACACACATGCACGCACACACACACACAGAGAAAAGAAATGAAGCCAAGAGCTATAAACCAATTATCAGCTGCCTACACACCTTCCTGTTCCCTGGCTCCCACAGGCCACCCCCCCCTCCTCTCAACTCGCTTTTCCCTCCTCGTTTCTCGACTTCCAGCCTCTCTCACAATCATTTCCTCCCTCTCTTCTCTCCCCCTCTGAGCTGACCTATATCAGCAGAGATGTGGATGCTTTTGTCATATTGCCCTCTAAATTCACCGCCACAGTTTCTGTCCTGTCACTTCCCTGCTCTTCATTTCCTCACCCCCTCTTCTTCATCCTCTACCCCTCATTGCTTCACACTGAGCTGACCTACAAAGGCGGGATGCTGACGTTCTGTCCGTAGTTGACCCTCATGACGGGAGCGATGACCTCATCAATGAAGCGCTGCGACACGCCCAGCTCCAGCAGCGAGTTGGAGAGCGGCCGTCTGGTCATGTTGATGAAGCCGCTGCCTCCCAGAGAGTCCAGGAGTTCCTCCACGGAGCTGAAGGCATAGCCGTGAGCCTGGTACTTATAAATCCTAGATGACAAACACAGATTACAGACAAATTTAGAAAATCAATACATTTGTCTCATTCATGTCCGAAATGATCAATAATCAGTGCAGAACAAAAACGAGTGGAAAGATGAGAGATGCCTTGAGCGGAAAGAGATAAATCACTTCCCGAGGGAGGAAGTTGATTTATTTCGGGTCGGTTAATGTTTCAAAGCAGACATCGAAGCAAGAAACAAAGTCTTGATTGAGTCTGTAATTTATTTCTTGGATGCTTTTTTTTAATTAAAAACAAAATTCTCTTCATTAACTTCCTCTGATTTCGAAAATTGATCCAATATAGGCTGATAAACAAAACAAAGTAAAAGAGAATCGGATTATACAAGCCCGCTGATATGAGTTCTCTGCTCTAGATTTATTCTACCCCAGTATTTCTATCCAGCAGCTCTTACATCATGCATGCAGACATTTTGGTTTATACTCAATGTTCTTGAGTATCGTGTTTTTGTTTGATTAATATCACTTCCTCAAGCCTTTTCCACAATTCCTCTTTACAAAACAAGCAGTAAAACTGTGTATGATTTGTGCTGATATTGAATCAGGTCAACTTAGGTTTCTGTCAATACTCAAAGCTACAATATCAGCATCAAGACGTTGTAACGTTGTTATCCCTAAAACAAACAGCAACATAAAAATTTTCATCTTTACCTCATAAATTTCTCCATGATTTCCTCCACCCACATCTGCAGGCGTATGAAGCTGATCCCATAGCGCCACCAAAGTCGGAACAGATCTAACAGGTACCAGTCGGTCTCCTCCAAAATCACCTCTTCACCATTAAAAACTGCAGTCTTTCCTGCCACATTTCGACGGTATTTCAAACCTTTAAATAGATGAGAGAAATTTGACTGTAAGAAAAAAGTATTTAAATGCTCTGTGACTGAATATCCCTGTCATTATTAAAACTTGTTATAACTCACCAAGCTGTTTGACAAATTCCTGCATGTGCAGGTTGAGGGAGTGAATAATGGATCCTCCAGATTCGTATTCATTGTGGTTGACGGTTACAGTGGCCAGACGACCTCCGACCTCGCCCTTCTCGAACACGTCCACCTGCACCTCCGGACCGAAGTGTTGGCGCAGAAAATGGGCCGTCGCGCTGCCTCCTATACCTGCTCCAACCACAGCTGGAGCACAGAAAAAAGGAAGATAATGCAATGCAAAAAAACTAAAGCTTATGTATTTTGTCCAGTATCTAAGTGCAAAGATGTTGATAAACTTAAAATAAGACGACACAAATTTACAGATAACTTTATAGAATGATATGGGAGTTTCATGTTTTCTCTTTAAACATGGGAAATATGTCCGTTTCAATATTTTGCTTTTTAGAAATCCTTTGAGCATAAACTCATCAATTTAAGGTATTTTTACCTAAAGTCTTTTCAAACCTGAAAAACATCTCATATGGTCTCTTTGGGTCAATAAATGTCCATACAAAATGTGGATACAATGACAAAGATTCTCATACCATTTCCATAGAAAACATTTCTGAAAGCCTCAACTGTCACCATGCTGTGAAAAATTATTTCATCTAATTTTTTGGTTACAAATGTTTCCGAGTTCACGAGTTATAATGACCTAGTCAAAGTACACGCATAAATTTAAAGACAGTTCATTCACATGTACAGATTCTGATTAGATTCAGATTTCTATTTATAAAAATGAACAAATATTTTATTTACTTTCCATTTCATAGTGAGGAACTCTCAGTCCATCACAGAGTTGCAATAAAACCAGAAGAAAATTAAATATAATACAGTTAAGATATATCTTTTTTTTAATGATAATAAAATAATAGCGATAATAACGGTTATATATCTGTGTCTTTCAGAAATAAGCTACAAATTATTTTTCATCTTTATCATGTGTCGCTAGCCGCCATTGCTAACAGTAGCCGAATCCAACGGTAACCTTCCGGGGCCTGCGCGTTTCAACCCTCAGTGGCTGAGCAGTCCTTCTTACCGATCCGTGAAGGCGGAGCACCGTCTTCATGAGCGGGTGTCTCCGGTTTCCGACAGCTGAGCAGACCGTTAGCACCACGGCGATGACTGGCAGCTGAAAGCCGCCCATAGCCGGTTGGGAGCAGAGCCGCGGGGATGAGGGTTCGGGTCGGTACCAGCGAAAGAAGGGTTCAGGTTATCTCCCTTCTTTCGCTTGGAGGGACATACTTAGAAAAAATATGAAGCAGGTTTATTTTACCGAGAAGTGAATCAGTTAATTAAGTCTAATATGGTTCATCAAAGATGGTTGTGAGGATGCGGTAGCAGAGAAGCGGGTCCGCATCATTGATAAACCAGGGCGCGCAAATTGGCGGAATCTTTCAGTTATTCAAGAAGCCAGAGCGGCATAAACATCATCGTCATCTGTAACTGATTCAAACAGGGGTCGTATAAATAAATTAAATTATTAATTTGTGAAAAAAATATTTAAGCTATTTTACCTTGAAATACTTTAGTGTGTACAACTGAAAGATAAATATCAGGGAAGGCAGTGAAGAATCATATGTATTATGTCTCTGTCTATGATTAAGTCCTAACATCTGATTGGATACTTTGCGCAATCAATTCAATTTCAGACCAATCATCTTGACCACATTATTTCATGTTTGAAAACGGCACTGGAAATATATAAACCTTAAATAAATACATAATTTACTGTGATGGTATCTCAATAAATAATTTAATTTAGTAGGTATTTATCAAATTGACTTAGACGTTACTTTTTAAAATGTTGTCATATATGTGGCCCTCTAAAGTTTCAAAGCGATAATGTTGGTTCAAATAAATTCTGCTCATATTGAAACGACGCCCCTTCCAGCATTTTTGGCAGCAAGTTCATGCGCCGGAGACTTGAAAAGGAGCGGTAAGCTACTACTGAACGGGTGTAGACGTCCGGCAACATCTTGTGACGTCACATGTTTCGACCAATCAGAAATGGCTGTGCTGGTCTTGGAAGTTGGTATTTTAGGAGACAAATCTTTTAGCGTTTCTCAATGCAAACACCAAAATGTAGAGATTATTTTTATATATAATACAAATATTCCTTTCGATATCTGAAAACAAAATTAATATTAATATTTAATGTTTTTCAGATGCCTGTCTATTCATTTAGTATATTACTTTAAAAAAAGGCTTTTCCCAGCTCAGTTAATCTGTATTTTTATTTGTTCACCTGATATGTGTAGCACTCAATTTGTGCAATTTATTAAGCTAAAATGTTATATTTGATATATTTATGCAACTTCCTCAGTTTATATTTCAATATCAGCCACTGTCTTCACCAGCATTGTTCATGTGGGGAAAAAAACAAATCAACAGAACCTCATGTTGAAAAACAGTGGATGTTGCTTTTATTTTATTCAACAGAGAAACTGCTGTGACATTGGCGTAAACCACTGAGCTGAAACTAACATTCACACTGTGCCGCAGAAACGGTGACTGGCACAGTGGAGCTGTAAGGCTTAAGTACGCCTCAAACATATATTCAATTTAAACATGCCTGCGCCACACTCATACTCATACACACACATCTTCATTTACATCAGCTATCTTACATCTGTGTGGCTGCTCAGACAACAGCCTCACCGCTTTATCCTCTCCCTCAGAGGTAAAGAGGTCAACAGTCGACTGGAGATCAGGTCAACCTCTGTTCCCTGCTGTGACCTTAAATGCAGGATGAAGAGATGGCATAACACAGAGACCTTAACCGTTCATCTCTAAGCAAGTCAGCCCCCAGCAATAACACTGCGAGGCCAGCCTGAAGGCTGGGGGGAGGTCATGCTCTGGCCAAAGGGAGGGGCAGGGAGGAGTAGGTCACTGGTCATGGTGGCAATCCAGCTGTTCACTTGGTAGAGCGTCGCGTCGGCTCAGAGGCGGTGGGGGGAGGAGGCGGGCCGCGTCGATCCAAATCCTCGATGTAGAACATGATCAGCTTTCTGCGCTCCTCTGGGACGCACTCCAACACGAGGTATCGCTTGTCGTTTTGAAGGATTTTCTCCACGTCTTTCAGATGCTGGTCCGACTCCTGGATCAACTTTCTGGACCTGGGAAAAGTGGAACCATTACAGCCACAAAAACATGGATTTTCTTTTGATTTAACATTGAATTTGTTTAATAGAAAACAGGTCATATCAATCAACATGAGTGCATAAAAACAGCCTTGTAGCACCAAGGGCTAATTTTCATCTGTAGTTCTCTGACAGGTTGTTATAAAAACTACAGGAAAACAATCTCAACGCTACCAATCATCCCTGTGGACATGCTGCAAACACCGTTATAGGAAAACGGGTGATTAATATTTTTTCCCCCCAGATGATCTGTCTCATACCATAATGTCTCGGCATAGAGACAGTTTCAACAAATTCATAGAAACAAAACTGACAGTATGATTGGAAATGTTATTTTCTCCACCGTGAGACGAGAAAATCAGTAAATATCAGTAAATTTGAAAATATTACATGTAGTTACCGTGAACAGTTTGATATAAATTTCACTTTTTTAATCAAATTTCATCCTGAAGACTCTTATTTCAAACAGGAATATTTGTCAATAATTTTTGTGTTTGTAGGGCCATTACAAATAAGTGATTGCTTTTTTTAATGTTATCACAATAGTGCCAAAAATATTGTGACAAAATTCTAGGTCCATTTTGTTTTTAAAGGGTTCCTGCTGAGCCCACACACCTGTACGTGATGAACTTTGTCTCCTTCAGCAGGGTTCGGAAGTCAGCTTTGGCTGTGATGTATTTGTCTTTGATGTAGTCTTCAAACTCTCGCTGTCTCTTCTGTAAAATGAGAAAAACGCATAAAACATAAAATCCACACACAAATCGGATTTCGTTGAGTTAATATGTTGAACTGCTGCAGGTGTTAGAAAATCTCTTACTCTGTCACTGGAGGAGAATTTAATACAGCGGGGGTCATCTTTGATGACCTTCTTGACTTCCTTCCATGTGGTCGTCAGTGTGATCTGCAACAAAGAAACTTTTTAAAAAGCTGTTTCATTTTAAAAATTAAAGAGACGCTCAGGCTGGAAACCTGTCCAGAAGTTCTCCTTACATTTGAACATTTTTCTGCGTCATGTTTTAACTTCTCACCATGCTGGTCTCGTCAAGCAGCTGCCTGAATTGTTCCTTCTTCTTCTTGGCTAGCGCCTCTACATGCTCGTTGAACAGCTTCTCCTTCTCCTCTCTTTCCAGAAGGGAAGCCGACTCCCAGCGGTGGTCCTTTCGCAGGTTACGGCGCGTGTCCGACCACGTTGCGTCCGAAGAACGGACCTGAGGAAGGGGGAGAAATCTCTTACAGCCAAGATAATTGCAAAGTATGCATCAAAAAAAAAAAAAAAAAAAAATGGAGGTTTGACAATTCAGGAAGGATCAGAGTGTTGCAGCACCAAATAGAGGAACAGGGGATCCTCTCACCATGTCAGACATGAGGGCTTTGAAGTTTTGGATGGCCTCCTCCCGTTTGTGCTGCTCCCTTTCTCTGTCAATCTCTTTGGTCTGCTCTGATCGGGCTTTCTGCACCTCCCGCTCCCTCTCTCTGAGACTGGCCTCGATGCGAGCCTGCCGCTCCAGCTCTCGCTCCTTCTCAATGTCCACATTCTGCAGGGCAGGGAAGACTATTACCTTAACGCCGGGATGTCATTTTCACTTTGGGCCACATCAAGATCATGTTCTTAAACGGCCAGTAGTGCCAGAATGCATTGATAAGACTCCTTAACAAACCGTTAAAATATTAATAAATAGCTGCGTCTTAAAATTCAATTATACTTGGCATGTTTTTGAAACTGATCTAGTTGTTTTTTTGGCAATGAAAATCACAGATTTGTGGAGCCAACTTAGAAATTTTTGCAAAATATCTTGCAACATTTGCAGTCATGTATGACAGTAACTTTTTGTTCAATAATTGACTATGATTTGATGTCCGGTATAGCTGAGGAAGCAGTACAGCACAAGTAAGAAATACTGCCACCTGCAGGTGGGAGTTAGCATCAAATAAACCCAATGTTTTGACAATTTTGGTGGAAATTTTGCAGTAAAGTCACAATTATACATTATTGCAAAAAAGTGCAAGGATTTGGTGATTTTCCATAATTGGATAAATTCATGCAATTTGGCAGAATTCAAATAAAAATTGCTTTGATTAGACAGTTACAATATTCAGGCACAAAACTGATATACTAAAGATTTTATTGATTCGTCCCTCTGGAGTCCAAAGGGGCAGATTTGGCCCCTGGGATCTTGAGTTCGACACATTTTCGGTCCAATCTCCTCTTTTCAAAGAGCTTTTCCTACCTTTGCTTGTTTCTCCGTGAACTGTTTGAATAGCTCCTCTCTGAGAGCGGAGCTGTCCACAGCCTTGTACCGAGGGTCAGTCTCTAGCCGCTCTTTCACTTTGCTCCATCGCTGATTTCCCTCCACGTGTTGATCACTCAGGAGATCAAAAAAGTCTTGTCTAACCTGAGCAGAAATAAAGTAAAATTCTTGAGCAAATCTTTCCAGAATTGTGACAAAGTACAATTTAAGTTTACTACAAGTACAGCAAATGATTGTGCTGCAAATGTGTGAAAATGTGTTTTTTAATTAAATCAGGAGAGAATTGTTGTGGTCAAAGAAAGAGATTCTTTATGGTGCTCAACTAGGAAAAACTTTTTTTCTGCTGCTACCTCCATGTGCAAACCTTAAGCATTGCATGTGTGAATTCCTCCTTTCACTGGTCAATTACAGTTTCTAACAACAGAAAACAACTTTCTGCAAAAGCTCTGTAATTCAAAATAAAACCTTTTAAAACCAGAGCACAGGTTTAGGTTTGTGTTACCTTCTCTCCTCTGGTTTTGGAGTCTTCTTTGTCTCTCTTCCTCATAGCTGTCATAAATTCGATGAAGATCGCCTCCCTGTCCTTCATCTTGTCGATGGCCTTGAATCTTGGATCTCTTCCATGCTTCATGGCAAATTCACTAAATGTTGTTCTGCAAAGATTTGAAAGCAAGAAATCAGTGTCACTTTGGTAGTTAGAATGAAAGTTTAACATGGATCATAAATGCATATTCACAACTGGTTGTTGAAGAAACCAGTAAAATAAAGTTTCATCTTCAAATCTTCAGAAACATTCAGACTAAAACTAAAAATGGCTGGTTTGTTTACTTGGGTGTGAGCTTGGAATCCTCCATCATTCGCCTGAAATCATCTTTGGCCTGCATGAGCTTGTTCTTCTTCTCCTTTCTTTCCTCTTCAGCTCTTGTTTTTACATATTGATCAAAAACCTGAAGACA